TGTTCAGCACTCTGTGTACAATTATTCAGCAGCTACTGTGCTATAGGAACCTGATCCCAGTCTGTTTTGCTGACATCATTTATATTTGTCTTTCCCCCTTAGCGTATGAAAAACAGTAAAAGCAGCAACAAATATGAAGGCTGGCCCGAGTCACTGGAGATGGATGGCTGTATTCCTCTGCGGCCACCACTGGAAAGTTAACTCTGCCTGGTACCCCTCATATGCATTGCAACAGAACCTGGAGGAACTGTCAGAAGGTCCAGGAACTGCTTAATGGGTGACAAAATTCAAGCTCTGGACCACAAATAACTTTTTTATTTGTCCTCTCATGGCAGAGGCATGAGCTCAGTGCAAAGATCGTCTTGACTTGATATATTTAAAGTTGCTGAAACCTGCTGTAGAGGATTTCTGATTTAAGCTTTGTGAGCCACTTTTGAGCTGAAGTAATGCTTTGGAATCAAGTAAGATTATGTTAGGCTGTGGGAAACTTCAAAGTCCAACTCAGTGTTTCCATTATGAAAATTACTGCACCTGAGAAGAACAAAAAGATATGGAAAAGTTAGTAGATCGAGGCAGCCCTATACTCTCACTATGCAAATGTATAGAGCTTTTGGACTTACGCAATTCCTCTGCTTCCGCTCTCACATGAAACAGTTTTTACACAGCTTTGATGAGAGGATGAAGACTAATTATCTTGTTGGTTATAAAAACCAATGGACAAGTATGGATTATAGAAAGAGCTATCAGGTGAACTTAGTTGTCCTCCAAGTTTTATGTCCACATATATAAGGCTAAACTTGTGGTTTCCTTTAAGTTTCTATAAATGTATTTTTTTCCGTTACAATAACAAAATCAATTGATAATAATAATGTTGACTGATAATGAATGTTCTGCTAGGGTTATGAGTGTGATGGCAGATGGAGAAAAGAGAGAGTGAGCAGAGATAAAATGCACAGGCTTTAGGGCTGGGTAAATGCACACACACACACACACTCACACACACACACGCAATGTGTATGATACTTATCAGGGAAAAGAACGTGCTGCCAGCTAGGCTGCAAACTTGCCAATGACTTAATTCATAGTGCCCTCTGTACATATTTTCTTACATTTCTTTTCCAGTAAGGCACCGCTTTTTTGACATTTACGGTGTGATTTATTCACTTCAGTCATCACCCAGGTATACTTTCCCTGAGCGCTGGAAAAAAATCTTACAGGAAACACTGCAAGTGTCAGATAACCAAAGTGTAACAGTGATGAGTGGATGAATACAGCTAGAGTAGGTCTTCCAAAGCCATTGTTGGAAATAGGTACATTTCTCTCTCTTCAGGACTGCCTATAGGTTTGTTTTGTTTTTTGTACTTGAGCAACAGCATAGATAAGTGTTTAATACTATGATGTAGAAAAAAAATAAACATCTAAGTTAGTGGTTTCATGCTGGAAACCCTAATTCAGAGTAGAAAGAAAAACTGGGTCTGTGGACGTATTTTATATTTCATACTTTAATATGTTTTTGTTGTGTAATGTCAAATTCATTAGTAATAGTGCTTAGCTGCCATTGTTTCCGTAGAACTTGATGTACACTAGTTGTTGCTCATCACAAGTTTACAGTTTTGTTTTTTCGTCTGTTTTTTTCTTTTTAAAATTAGTCTTTGTCATTGTCCTTTAATAAAACTATTTATTTTTAAATACTTAAACAGAAAGCAAACTATTTGTGTGGGTTCATCACAACACTGCCAGTGGTTCTGAAGCTGTCCCAGGCCTGCAGGCATCTTTACACTCTTTGCTTTGCTTAAAGATTATTGGTATGGTTATTGATTGTTGGTTTTTTTTTTCTTTCTTTTTATGTTGAACGGATTAATTTTGCTTCTTGAAAGTCTAATATATATATATAAAGTGTAAAGACCTAGTTCTTCTCTATCGCTCTGTATGGTTAAGTCTGTTTCAGTCGCCTTTCTGAATTAGGTTGTGCTACCAAAGTGTAATTTTTTTTTCTACAAAAGATTACAGTCTGTGCTTTTGTTGTGACGACAATGATGATGAATAAAGTATGTTCTAATATCAGTGTGTTGGTTTTTTTTCCCCCGTGGGCCCTAATATTGAGTCATCTGCCATGCTTGGAGAAATTCACCAGAGGGCGACAAAAGGCAAAGTCTCACTGGGGTTACTCAGTTCATCCTGCTCAAGGCATTTGCTTCACTAAGCATACGCTCTGCTGGGGATAAAAGCTTCGGACTGAATGCACCGTTTCTGCTTTGACAGGGAGTTCAGTGACAGCAAAGAATCGCGATGGTCGTTGAATCGGTACACTGTAGCGTAGTAATGTCAAACACGATCAATTTCATTGTTTCATTGAAATGTGTTATGAGGCATTCAAGTCGTGGGAGAAAAATCGTGAATTCGCAATATGCGTTATTTGACGTTCAAAGGCACAAACTGGGGTTGAAAACCTGAGGTAGAAGAGCAAATCTGCACCCCAAATGCCTGACTTCTATCTTTTAGAATTAGACTGGGAATTGTTTTCACTGTCACAAAAGTAGAACTAAATTTAGTGCTGGATAGAGACCGGAAAGACTTTTTGCTCTCGTGGAAATCTTGTCATTAGCGTCATACCTTGCAAGAAAAACAGTATAACATGGATGTATATGCATGCATGTGTCCATATGCAGTTAAACGAGTAGTATAAACTAATTTTTATATTCCAGTATTGCATTAAAATAAATTTTGAGGTACTTGAGCGTTTCTCTTTAATAGTAAGTATTTATATTAAAAGTTACTTTGCGCTTGTGTGTGTTGTGGATGTGCAATATCGTACTTCTTATCTGATAGTTAGAAGTTTCTATTTTAATTTATATGGATAATGTGGTGAATTGTTACAGAACAGAGAATGAAAGCTATAGTTAAAATCAGCTTCACCTTAACCAACTAATTGCAATGAAAGCATGAATAATGTGATGCAGGCGTGTCAAAAGACTCCAATCCGACCCCAATAAAAACGTTGGAAAACACGAGAAAGGCATAAATTATGGACTTTTAACTGTATTTTCATATAAGTTTTACAGAATTATCTTTACTGATAAAGACCAAGCGTTTGCTCATTCTTGCTACACCAAATTCATAAAGCAATACATTATTTTTTACGACAGAGATAGAAATAGAAATTTATAGAACTATCTGGGGTTTCGGGGGGGTGGGGGGCTTGACACTGTTAGTTCATACGGTTAAGGCCAACGAGTAGTGCTGACACTTTTTTTCTTTTCTTTTTTTTTTAACTATAGCAGCATTTATATATCATAAAGGGGAAAAAGCTGTCATGTTCTGTTGAAACTGTGCTTCTTTTTCTTATATAAAGACATCCTAATGATTCAAAGTGGGATGTACGAGGTAACGTGAGTTAGTCATTTCTGATCTAATGTATCAAATGAAAGTATAACATGCACATGATTTATTTAGAGTTTTCAGCTTTGTAAGTTTTTATTATTTTACCTCTATTCATGCTTTTGGTTTTAAACTTCAGATTTTTAATTGAGAAATTTCTTGTAGTTCTACTGAATACTTCTTCCACGAAAAGCTAACATACTTCATACCGTGTACATTATAACATACCATAATAGACCCATTTCTGTAATATACTTACATATCTATATTCTTGCTAATATATATTGTAATATATCTATATCACGGCTAAAGCACTTCTGGATGGATGCAAACTGCATTTCGTTGCCCTGTACCTGTGCATGTGCAATGACAATAAAGTTGAATTCTATTCTATTCTATTCAAACACACATATAAACATAGTGTTTGAATTATTATTATTTTTTACAATAGTATATAGATTTATGCAGCCGTGTCTCTGTCAGTCACACATAATGTTTCAATTGCCTTTGCAAGACCGCTGAAAACCCTGCTTCCTCCCTTGAAACAGATTTTTTACGACGAGCATTTGAATGCATCACCATATCCACACGATAAACTGCGGACATAAACACGCGGCGTATCGCCCTCTAGTGGCGTAGTAAGCTAACTGTCGGTTTGTGTTCGTCCTCTGGCTGATGATGAGCCCTGTGGCAAGTGAGAACTGGCAGGCGGCGCGCGCTTAGTACACGCGAGAAACTGCAGAAGGCCGTTGGACTCGTACGTTGTAAATTATGTACATAAGTTGCTGATATTTTCCGGATACACATGAATGGCGTGTTGGTCAACTTTGAGCCGACAAACCGAGCAGCGAGTGAGAAAATCTGTAGACCGACGGCAAGCATCGTCTAAACTGGATACACGTATCCCAAGTGCTCCGCGCCCGTGTCTCACACAGACCGAGGATCGACGACTCCGGTGGGGATTTTCAACCTGACAACACCGCGAGAAGCCTGTAAAATGTAAAGAGGAAAAAAAACGACAGCAACAAACGAACCCAGCGGATTTTTTATTTTTGTTTTGCCGAAGCTTTTTTATTATACATTTTTTGAGCGTGTGTAAAATATTTTTGTAGGCAGAAAGTCCAGTGTAAATCTCCTGTAAATAACACCAAGGTTTGTAGATAGATAGCCGACTATATCCAGTTTTCTGTGAGTTTGCTAGCTATTCAGTCTAAATAACGCTGGACCGACGAGCTGCGATGTTGCATTTGGGTGAGTGATGTTTGTTGTTATTTTCATTTACAGTGCAGACAATAATTTGCGTGATTACTGGACTGTGGTGCCCCGGTGAGGTGCTGTTGTTATTTTGTCCGTCTGTTTGGGCATTAAGAGATCGCTCAGGAGGTGTTTATCATCCCGACACATAATATTCCATTTTAATTCACGCGGTCTTAAAACACTTAAGTGCAGACCTGCGGGCCCTCACACACCAACAGTGAGCCCATCATTCGAGTGATTTGAAATGTGCTCAGGGCAAGTCCTGGAGGTTTGATGATTTATTTATTTATTTTTTGTGATGGTGTCAGCCGTCTCAGTCACTATGCTCTCGCCCTGTATCGTGATTGTACTCTATGTTATGCGTGGCGTTTCCAAAGTCAGCTGAGCTATCTGCTAGCCAATAGCTGTACATCATGGTGCATGCACATCCAGGCATCACTGTGTTGGTACCATGTATTTATATACCTATGAATAACATACACGAACCAGTGAGTACTGCGTGACCGGCCACATCATGGGGGCTTTAAGCAATTTGCCAATTAATGTTAAAAAATGAAAATCACCCCTGCTGTCTCCCATCAGCAGCAAAAGGTATTGATATAATATTTATAAATGTATGCATTCCCTTAACTTCACCATTGATCTATAGCAAAACAGTGGTTTTATCCAGATGAGAGCAGTAGTGGTGCATTCAAAACATTAGAGAGGGCACTTGCTTCTTTACAAAAAAAGAAAAAGGCTGACAGGTGCTAAACTCCTGAAATCAACACTATGCTGAGCTCAGAGTACTCCAGCATCCATGAAAGTTCAGTGACTGAGGGAATGGGAAGGCTCATAGGAACTCCAGGAGTGGTAAGCCAATTTAGTGACATGTAATCCTGTTCCAACTTTGGCTGATTAAGGAGCCTTTCCCGCACCTGGACCATAGGAATCTCTCAGAACTGGACAGCTCTGCTCGCAAAGGGGAATGAAAGAGAACAAAAAAAAAACCAGGGTTAGATAACATATTCCCTCTCTCAGTGAACAGTACTCCGTGTGTGCTACCTACACTCTACTCTCCCATGCTTGACCTGGATTGGACAAAAGTCCTTGTTGTGTTTTCAGCCTTGCGTTTCCCTAATGGGAAGAGAACAAATAATTGTGTGTTTGATCCTGGTAACCAGGATTCGATATTTTTCATTGGGCTCCAGAGAAGAAAGCAACATGTGCGGAAGCACTTGTGTAGTTGAGGTGGAGAAATAATCACTTTAGTCTCAACTTTTTTTTTATTTTGTATTGAAATTTAAAAAGTATTTATACCCGTTAAACACAGACACATCTGCCTTTATATTTTATCTGTGGCCAACAGCTGAGACCTGTGTTGTTCTAAATAGCTTCCGCTTGACATTGGGCCCATTCAAAATTTGGCCAGCAGCTCTCAGACCTTGTGTTACCTCTAGCCTGTCTCCCCATATCACTCGGCCTCCATCTCCTCTTTAACCTCCTAAGACCCGAACTCTTCCACGGCATTAATTAATAAATTAAAAATGTAAAAAAAAATTAATAAATGAGAGCCACATATGAGGATATTCGTTTAAAATTTTGATAGAACAGTAGCAGTATAACGTCCTCGTAAGAGGATATCAGGCCCTTGTAGAGCAACATTGAGTATTTTGGCCTAAATAACCGAAAATGTGATGTCCACATATGTGGACGCCAGGTCCTAGGAGGTTAAATCTCTGTGGGACGAATTTGTAGTTGTGAGAATTTGGACAGATTTAAGTTGATGTATTGGTTATGTGTGGAAAAGTTAGTGTCGCAGACAGGAAGTGGTTTTATGCGGTTAGGTTTTGATCTGCACACGAGACATATTCAATGAATCAGTCACTTAAATGCAGCCAGATTTTTTCTTGCCAGTTGGATCTTCTAAACATTTCTACTAATCCCTGACTCCCTGGTACACTGTAACCGTGCTCATTCAGTCAAGAAAATCAACAAAGGGATAGTATGCAAAGTTCTGCCTCTGACTAGACTAGACACATGCAAATGACCTGATAATACACTTTGCTATAATAACTTCATGCCTAAACTGCATCTGAAACTACCAGTTTAGCCTTGGAAGTTTGATTACAAGGCATTCGTTTTGTTATTTTAAATGAAGAACGAGTTGATGGAAAACCTTTTTGCCCCGTGGTAATTGTGTCTCTGTAGTAATGCGTTATTATCATTTCCATTCCAGAGCAGCGAGCGCAATCTCCCATTTATTTGCTTAATTAACTTTTTTTGATCTACATTATGCAAATGAAAAATAAAAAATAGCGGAAGAATTCACAGTTTCTAAATCCAGTGGTAATATTTCACATGGCCTCTTCTGTCTTATTTTAACCGTGTGAGATAGCCGCTCACATGAGACCAAGAGCGAGTCCTAAGAGTCGAGATGTTGTCACGACGGGACATTTGGTGTTTATTGCTTTAATAATGACAGGATCAATGATGAATGGAGAACTGAGCTCTGTTTATTTAAATATTTTTTAAGAATTTATTTCTGATTTTAGGCGTGCACTTAAAGTACATTTATATGTTTATGGTCCTTTACCCTGCTCTCCCTCAGCCTTCTGCACCGAGTCGGGCAGTGACACAGAACATGCCATTGGAAACTATTCCTGCGCTAATATAATCACCTCATGTTTTCAGCCTTTTCTAAACACTAAAGGTATGTCTCCACTCCTCTCCGTGCACAACTGTAGCTGCTTTTGTTGGTGCAGAAATTTAGCTATAGTCACTGCTTTCATTCACACAAACATTGGCACATATTTTATCAGGCCGCCCCCACCTTTTGTCTGTGCCAGCCCACCGCCCTCCCTTTTCGCTCTCTTGTTCTCTTTCACACACATTTTTCCCACCCCTTCTGCCCCCACCCCACCCCCACTCAACTCACTCCTTCCCTCTGCCTCTGCTGACCGCCCGCTCCCACCAACTACAATCCCTTGCTGTACCCCTCGCCACTTTATAGTCGCTCTTTTTTTTTTTCTTTTTTCATCTGTATGTCCCCCTCAATTGCAAAAACATAGCCGTCTGCGCTTACACGCTTACACGCACACAGTCCCCTGGCTCTTCCTTTGTATGCCTGCTTAATTTTTCAGCGGCTTTTTGTTTTGAGGGATTATTCTGCTTCCCTGTGAAGTGATTTGTGGAAGTTGTGCAACCGGATTGCAGCATATTTGTTGTGTTTAAAGATATATGTTTGTCTAGGACTTGTGCTTTTTTCTTTAATGAGCGTAAACACAAGTTGCACAGAGCACATTTTTCCTGTGCTTCACACGTTTAAGCATAGAGGTAAAAGTTATAAGTGAAAACAAACAGAGGCATCAGTGGGTATTGAGAATAGAACAGAAGTCACATCATTGAAGCAAAGTTGTCACATTGATTTTTGGTGCACATTTCAATAATGATTAGGCAGCTGCAGGTGTTCTCCCATGCAGGAGCCTCGCCGTAGCCTGCAGGGCAGTAGGATTGCTGCACGTCAGTTGTTTAGTTCTCATGTACTTCGGCACTGATAGAAAACTGAACAGACAACGGCTCTGACACGGGAACTTGATGCGCGCTACGCACCAGAGTCATTTTGCTGCCAAAGCAAGATGTCATAGTTTTAGCTGCAGCATTGGTTTTATTATCTTTAACTTTAGTTTACCGCGCTTGCCCACACGGGCAGTTGCTTGGTCATTTGGCTGGTGTCAGGAAATTCCTTTCGGCATTCTTTCATTGAAAGGGGACATGCAGTTTGGGTGCTAGTGACAGTTTGCTTTCGATGTGTGTCTGTGTGTGTGGTTTTTGTCTGTGTATAAAAGATACAAAGAGTGCTGAAGGGACAGAGGGATAAAGTTTGTTCTAACCTGCCGTCTGATATCTGTATCGTGAGTCTATGTGGGTGTGTTTGGAAGGGAGACTGATCGGGTGTGAGAGACAGTGATGGTTGAACGTGTTTGATGTGCTGTGATAACTCTGTCCGGTATGTGGCTTTCATGGGAACTCCTTGCCCTGGGGACATGGGCAAATAAGCTCTTGCTTAAAGGGCAACTTCCCTCTCTTTATCGGCTGTTGTTTTTCCCCCTTTATGCTCCCTACATCCTGTTAGCCTTTACCTTTTTAGACTCACTGTACACTACAGTATGTCCTCTGTGGGTTACCCAAACATACTCAGTTTTCTGTAGTTTTTTTAATCACTGTGCAGCAAGTCTTCGATTAGATGCATGCTTTTTGATAGTCTATCTAGTCTATCTAGTGATAGTCCGGTACAGGGTGCAGCACTTAAATGAGTAGACGACTGAAAATGAAACAGGGTTATGGTAATTGAATCAGTTCATACTTACTAGACTCAGCTTTTTAAAGCATGAGGATTTTCTGCTCTTTTTCTTCTGTGTTTATCATTTTAAATTTGGATGCAAAATAATAGGACCTCAATTTTGAATTGTAAACACATACTGTTAGCTCCATTAGTTCTTGAAACAGTGACACAGCTGTGCTTCTGTACACCAGATCAGTCAAGAAGTAATTGAAGTGCATACTTTCAGCTTTTTTTTCAAGGGGATTAAGAAAAATATTGCATTAACTGCTTAGGAATTACAGCTGTTTATATATAGGCCGAAAAAAGAAATGAAAAACTAAGTAAGATCATGTTAGATTTAACAACTGTTTTTAATACTTGGATGAAAATCCAAGTCTGATACTTCTATCAGCATTTACATTATCAATAAACACTAGTGACCAGTTCCACTTGCAACCATACATCTCCATGCCACAACATTGCCTCTGCCATGTTTGTGCTTTAGCTCATGAGCTGTTTTCTTTCTTCCTCCATACCTTTCACTCCCTTTCATTCTGGTAGAAGCTCATCTTGGTTTCATCTGTCTGTGAAACTGCTTACTTTTTCAGTTTCTTCATTATTTTTTGTGTCGTTCTTTGCACGTTATAATGGTTGTAATTAGTAAATTACTGAGCTCCTAAACAGTAAATAAATACTTTTGCAAAATAGTCTACACTTCTGTCACATACAGCAGCAAAATGATCAAAAACAGTGTCTCTGTCCAGAAACTTATGGACCTAACTGTGTAGGGTGCCTAGTCTTGCTAAAGGGTAAGGATAAGCAAACTAGCAGCTCTCCCCACATTCTGTTCTCCCCTGTTAACATTAAGAAGTACACTCTTGACTATTTGTCAGATTCTTCTAAACATAGCTACAGGCTGAGAGCCTCTCACCAGAAGCGTTACCTGCAGCTAGTGAATCAGAGGGAAGTGCAGGGGAGATGCTGCTGCAAACATTAGTTAATCTTCTATCAACTTAATTGAGGACTATTTGATTCGAACACTGTTGATGTTTTTCTTTTAAAAAAAGTTAAAAGTAATAATAACAAACACATTTCTTAGTAATGTCAAGTAATTAATTTTTAGAAAATACAGAAAAGGGTAATATTACAAAGCCCTTTCTGAAAAAGCTGTAAAGTTAAGGGACGTCCTGCAACTAATTAGGTTAATTAGACCAGTAACATGATTGGGGTATAAAAAAAAGAAGTTTACCAATCTACAAAAATAAAAATAATAATAATCACATCTGAAAATTGTGGAACAATTTCTGAATAATGTTCCTCAATGTAAAATTTTGAATATTTTGTCATTATCTCATCATCTATAGTAGCGGTCCCCAACCTTTTTTGCACCACGGACCGGTTTATGCCCAACAATATTTTCACGGCCGGCCTTTAAGGTGTCGCGGATAAATACAACAAAATGAAACTAGTACCGGTACCGAAAAAAAGAAGATTTATTCATAACACACTGAAAAGACCCAGGAAAACCGAGTTAACGATCAAAACGATAACAAAATAACGTTGAAAACCGATAAAAAAACCTGAAAACCACACATTTCACACCTGAGCCTCAACTCTCGCGGCCCGGTACCAAACGACTCACGGACCGGTACCGGTCCGAGGCCCGGGGGTTGGGGACCGCTGATCTATGGTACATAATATCACCAACAGATCTGTAGAAATCTGTGCTCAAGGATTAAGGCCAAAAAGTCAATGTTTCATGCTCATGATCTTCAAAAATATCATGAGCATGTTTTAAATGCATTCTGTTATGGAAACCACTCAATTGGCTCAGAAACATTGCCAGAAATGGTACATGAATACTGTGCCATCCACAAATGTGGGTTAAATCTGTGCCATGCAAAGAAGACCCAGGACTGTTAGAATCCTATATCAGACAAGAATGGTACAAAATTGCTCTCCTCTAAGTCCAGTCTCCTCAGTTCAGAGATGTTTACAGACTGTTGTTGGTCTTGTCCCAACTCTTTTGAGATGTGTTGTTACCATCAAATTCAAACTTATATGTTTTCTGTGTTTTGCTACAAATAGAATATGGGTTTACGGCATTGCAGTCTATGTACACTTTACATAACGTCCCAACTGGAATTTGGGTTGTAGAATAGCCTTATATTTATTATTAACAACTGGCTAGTAGCTGCTGGACTTTGGAAAGAGAAAAAAGAACCCTCACTTGAGTGGTGCTGCTGATCGATCCATTTTCTTTATTACTTAATCTGTTTAATTGGAGAAGTGCAAGAAAAAAGACAGATGGAAGTATTTCATTTGGTGGATATTTGAATATTTTATTCATCAATCGGATTCCTAGAAAACAGCCTAAATAACAACATATTACATCACATTTGAAGGTTATTATTTGATGATTTTTTACAATGTTTGTTTTCTTTTGTTATAGTATTTGGGTGTGTCTTGCTTAATGCTGATGATGGCTTCTCTCTTAGCTTACGTGTCTGTTCCTTGGAAATGTTGCTAAACTTGAATTGCTTGTTCTTCGGGAGCTTAGGCAGTTAGTCAACAGACAGTGTATTGCGCATTAGTTTGACTGACAGCTACTAGCATTGCACTTCAGACTCACTGCGTTTGAGCCTGGAGACACAATAGGCTTGATGTGAGTGTTAATGTCATTGTAATAAAAGAGATAATGGCTGTTGTGAGCTTCCAGATGATTCCCCTGTGGTAACCGTGGGCTTTGTTCGAGCTTAAAGACAAGTTCAGATTTGCTACTGTGACATTTCAGGGTCTGAGGCCGGCTGCTTCGGTGGGTTTCTTCCTAGCCAAGTCGCTGTAACCACAGATTGTTTGGGTGCATAATTGCAGTAGGTTTCACATGTTCACTTTCAAATTAATATGTGTGAAGGTGTAAACTTATATCTGTTAATATCCTGAATTGGACTGCACTTCCTATTCACTACATTCCCATAACAATCCTTGTGTACGGCTGTTGTTGGTATCCATTAGTATGCTTCCTGTAACTTCAAATGCTTAGTCATAAGGTGACTTTGGGCCTTATTGCAACTTTTATTAGTAGTTAAACCCTGGCTCTAAGATGCACTCTCCAAAGTAACTCCAGGCTATGAGCCACTTAGAGATCATTTGCTGTAAGAAGGCAGGGGAGATACAATACCATGGGACAGGTGGGGAGTGATAGAGGAGAAGTGAAGATAAAGATGCCACTGGAAAGCTGCCCACTTCTGTCCACACAATGACACAAAAATCACCAAAAAAACCTAACAGCAATCGATTACTTTTTATAGGAAGATCACTATTTCAGAAGAAACTTGCTTTGTTCACTTCTGCCTCACTTTACCTAAGGGCCAGTCAGTAGTTTCAAAAGATTACACTGCTTTAAATGGTTCCCAGGGTATGAGTAATACTGTAGTGGTGATAATCATAATCACAGTTGTGTAATCTTATGAGGCTTTTGTTGCATATGTGTGATAGTATCTCTCATACAGTTCAACAATCCCTCTGAGTATGAATTATTCACACTCAACCGAACTGGCCCATAGTTCATCATCCATTTTTAATGGTTGGGATTGTATACTCCTAACTGCAGCTTTCTGTTCGCTAATGGAGCTGTTGAGCACAACTTCAGACGCTAGACTCTGGTAAACATGTGATTGACGATTGATGAAACCATGTGTGATCACTGACCAGGCTCACGGGATATTCTTCAGAGACTCTTTCGGTTTAATTGTACACAACTGAGGCGTTTGTTGTGTTAAAATTACAGATGAAAATGTTTCTTTCTTAAGGTTCACCCTCTATGTGATTATGATGATATCTTGAAGTCATTCTTTCCATCCATTCACACTGGGCTGTTGGGGCTATTCCAAGTGTATCTTAATAAATATAAATAATGTACCAGTGTTTTTCTCAACAGATTTAAATATGTCAATCGACTGTGTTTTGTTTTTGTCTTGCAGGTTTACTTGAAGATTTCCGCATCAGAGTTTGAAATAATAACAGCGCTGCTTACCCCAGCTGGCTTGAAAAAAACCCTCCTGGTTTCCTGTGTTTGTTTGAGCCCTGAGATGTCTGATTCTTCTTGATTAGCACCGAACAAGTCGCTCCTGAAGAAAATGTAGGCAATGCTGAGAAGGAAAGTGAAGATAGAAACATCTCACCCTGCTTCTGTGCTTCTGTAAAGCAGCAGAGTAAAAGAGTCCGAGGAAGACGACGGAGGAAAAGAGTGACAGAGTGACCAGTTTGATCAAGGACAGCCTCACCTGTAGCAGTCTCTTAACACGTTAAAAGAAGTGAGAGGGTGACCACAGAAAAAGAGAGAGACGGGGACTGACGGAGGAACAAAGGTTTGGAGGAGGAGGTCTAGCAGGGGTGGGAAAGCCCATTCCCCATGGCTACTGACCCAGGAGAGCCCGCAGGCACCGAGGATTCCTCGGAGAAACCTGATGGACAGAAGGAGGAGGACCCGGAGTGGGAGGGCAGGGTCGACCAACAGAGGGAGAGGACAGACAGCACCCCTATGGACTCATCCTCCTCCCAGACAGAAGCAGGGAGAGCAGCAACAGAAGAAGATGGAGGAATCAGAGGAGGCGGTGGTGGAGGAGAAGCCTCCCAGGAGGAGACCGTACTCAGACCTATTTCATTCTCCACACCCTCCCTACCCATCGATACAGGTCAGAAACGACTAAGAAGGGAGAAGCGCTTCTTCAGGAAGAGTGTGGAGATTTGTGAGGAAGAGGATGAGGTGGATGTACCCACCTTGGCATCACATAGTGCCCCCCACCTGGAGCTGCGCTCATCAGACTCAGTCTTTAGTAGTAGTCCCCAGCAGCATGGGGTTGCTTCATCCTGTGCAACCTTGGGACATGAACCGTCTTGCACCAGCTCAGTCCATGAGCCTGGGAAAGATGCTCCTTCATCTGCACCTGTACCGAGGGGGAAGGAGAGGGACCGAGAACAGGAAGAGGAGGCGGAGATGAAAGCTGTTGCTACCTCTCCTGGAGGAAGGTTCCTCAAATTTGACATAGAACTAGGCAGAGGAGCCTTCAAGACCGTCTATAAAGGCCTAGACACCGAGACTTGGGTGGAGGTGGCTTGGTGTGAACTTCAGGTAAGACAGTCTGTTTTCTGGTTTTTTTAAAATTATTATAATCAGTGCACTTAAAGAACACAATGCCGTAGGTTTACTGGTAATACTTATACTTTATTTATCCACTTCAGAATTTAAACACAGTATTACTGTTGTAAAATGAACAGAGATCTGGAAATCTCAGCACGTAGTCTGCTTCCTATTCAGACTGTGTGACTGCAGTTCCGTGGAGACTGAGGTGAAAACGAGGAGCATCACTTGTAGCTGAGTGACAGCACACAGTGAAAGTGGAGGCATTGCCTTTTCTAGGACTGTATGAATAATAGAATAGACTGTCAGCATATCTTCTTGTTGTGATAGGTGTCCTATCAGAAAGACTATGCCATGTATTTACCTGAATTGTATGAAGGCGATTATTGTTTTTCAGGTTTGTATCAATGCTTGTTGTAGGTGTAGTAATCAGGAAAGAAACAAATAACAGCACACATCATGAAGGGGATATACGGCATCTGCCTTGCTTTATAGAAATAAATTATTAAACAAGCTGTTTCTTCTTGTAATCATGCAGTCTAATGCATGTATCACAAGCACTAAGAGAAGATAAATTAATGTTTGCATTATTTGTTTCTGTATTATTCCTTTAGGTGTAACCAGGTCTACAAAGCACAGCCTATCTGTTGTTTATGAAATGGAATTATGAATGAGATGTATTTTGTGAGAACAGAGTAAATAGGAGGACTGTAGCATATGTAGGGGTGACTGCACCAAACATCACTCTGAGAAAGTCTTTTTCATGCATTGTAATTGAAGTGGGAGGAAAATGTCGAATTATTATAAATGTTTAATATGGCTCCTCTGTCAAAGCCTTTACACGCTGTAGCCCACCAAACGTAATTATGTGGAGAAGTAATGGGAAACATTGTTATATGGTGTGAATATTAAATATGGTGGGAGGCAGCCTCGTGGAGGAGCAAAGAAATGCATCCCTCTGACTCTTAGCCTCACAATAGACAGCAGTGTTACAGTTAGCCATCTGATCTGACTGCTGGCTTTGTGTGAGGAAAGTCAGTCATGTGTTTGGTTTGGAGCTAATTCCAAAACAAGAGTCTTGGCTAATCCTTGAGATCAGGCTCTTTCTGTTGGACTAACAAGCAGCAGGAATGCCCTCATCACCTTTTCTCGTATTACTCCCAACACTTACTGAAACAGGTTCATATCAGCAGTTGTTCAGAGCTACTTAAATAATCGACTTGCCCTTTTTTGGGGGAAATTTACAGAGCTTGCAAAGGTAGCATGTTTCACCTGCGGTATCAATGTTAGAATTGTGTTTTGCCACCAGACAGTTTTTTGTCATGACATCAGCAACAACATTTTTGTGATCATTTTTTGAAGATGAAAAGCCATCAGTGTTAAACTTCACCCATCCAGTCCTACTGAGAACAGCAGGTTTTGGGGGTAATTGTTATAAAACAGGCTGCTTCAATCCAAAATTATTAAGTCATTTGAGAAGATAATAGATAATTTACTGTATAATTAGATTTTGTATTACAAACAGATAGTGAATTGAGAAAAACAAACAGACTGTAATTCTGACACACAGAGCAACAGCTAGGAGAAGGGAAAAAGGCAGCGTGTGAGAAAGAAAAGTGACAGACACAGGAGGTGATCGTGAAGGGGAAGAGAAGGAAAGACAGAGGGGGACACAATGAGCCAAACACAGGATTACCATGGCATCCCTCCCAGTGAGCAGCCATGTAGCTAATGCTAAGCTACCATACGCAGGGAGACACATGAACACACACAAACGTGCACATACACAGAGGCCTGGTCACACGCCTATAGATGCATCCAGTGCAACATTCAGTGCAACATTCTAGTCACTCGGTGCACATGATCTGACCCATTTACTCTAAATCACCAAAGTCTACTCATGGTTTCAATGTTTTCAGGTTGCCATTGACTAGACAAAAGTGATCATAATAATAATGACTTAAAGCCGTGATGGCAATGATACACTTGATTAGACAGAGTTGATGTGGGACATTAATTTGGTCCTAATAACAGTGTGCAATGTCAAAAAAACTTCAAACAGTGGTCGTCCTATCTTAAGGCACAGGGAATCAATAACAACTATATAGGTTGAACAGGATGATAAATGACTTGTACATGACTAGCCAGTACACTGTTTGATGCTGTCCACTTTACTGTGAGACTGCAGCCTGGGAGCACCAGACTCCTGTCCTCCTGTGACCATAAAGAAAGGGAAGCCGGGGGATTAGCTGTCCAAATGCAGCTTGAATGAGTGGGTAATTAAAGTTCACAGTGTGGACACCATCCCTCTTCTTTCCTTCCCTTTCCCAGGGAATTCCACACCTCACAGAGCAGAGCTATACATCAACCTTGCTATTGCTTCAGTCGTATATTGCCATCCATACAGGGGAATGTGTTTGTTTGAATCCCATAACTGGGAGCTGTTGCCCTCTTGTCTGTCTGTGTCAACATATCACTGTATGTGTCTGCCTGTCACCCTCCCTCTCTCTTTCTCTCTCACCCCACTTTCCCCCTGCACCCATACTCTCCCCCATCACTTTTTTGTCTGTTTGAGTGAGCATGCAGAGTGATCCAGGGAGTTAATTACAGTGGGTGCCTGTCAGGCTGGAACAAAAATCCTGCACAGACAGCATAACTCGGGAGGCAGAAACCAGACTGGTTCAACCCAGTCATCCCAGACAGGTCCAGCACACCCCAGGCCAGTTACATTCACAAAACTAGAAGCATTTAAGAGTTTAACAATAGTCACCACTTTGGGTTTGGTGATTTTACTTGTTTTGTTTCAGAGAATTTTAGCTCCATATCAAAAGGTAAATGTCAGCTTAGGAGGCTTCCTTCTCCAAACACTGTACCATGTGTGCTGGCTTGGTAAAGACTGCGTGCAGTCAAGTCTGACAGTTTGGAAGTGATAAGAGAACACATTTGGATTTTTTTTGTTAACTGTCATATTGTATATGTTCTATTAAAAACTGTCAATTTTGCAGTGATCAAAGTATCTTAGTGAACGTCAACATGCTCATTGACTTGCAAAAGGTGTTTATTCTGGATATACTTCTTTGGGTTGGTCTGATACGACAACAATAAAAACAATAAAGGGAGGAGTCGGGATTGTGTTTGTTGTTTCTCATTGTGAAAGACCAGTCTGATCAGGAAAAGCAAAGACGTAGTAATGATGGGTGACTAAAATTAGTTCAGGCTAAATCAAATAGACTACAGCTGAACTGACTAGACCGATTGGATCAATCTAATCAAACTGGCCAGGCACATATTTGCTGGGTCTCTGATAGCTGACAAGTGTCCCTGGGGCTGTATCCTCCCCCCAGAGTCTTTATTACCTAACCAGCAACCAGAGATTCAGTTGCTATTGATTGCTGGAAACATTGACCGCATAACACTACCATTAACTGTATAGCTTGATTAGAAATCAATAAAAGGTTAGCACTGGTGATCCATTTTTTATGGTATGATAATTGTCAAAGGCAGCATATTGAAAAAAATCTGTTTGGTCAGATAGCAGTCAGTTGTCACACCATTTCATCTGAAGAGTAGGTTTCTGGTTTGACAACATGCCGAACCAGAAATCTGTGAAGAATGTGGGACTAGCAAAAAGTTTGGTTTGTTTTGAAAACAAAAACGTAGACAGTATAGTATAAAAGTATAGTCTCTACCACTGCACAACAGTAGTACTACAGTAAAACAAGAAACAATTGAACACATTTCTTGTAGTGGTAAAGGCCTGCGTGTTGGCTAAAGGCTTCTATAGATCTTTGTAAACCTAGCCCACTGACCTGGAGTCTTAATCTGGTATGCAGGCAACCCTTTTGCAGCAATCTGTCTTGTTAGTTTGGGCTGTTGGAGCTTAGAGTGATCTAATCTTAGCCATCCACCACCTTAAAACGCTAACTGCAGAATAAGATACGGTGCATGCACCCTGATAAATGTATAAATATACACCTTCAGTATGAATAACGCTCCTCGGATAGTGCTCCAAATTAGTCCCCTTTATCCTGCTATAGCCATCTCAGATAAGAATGTAACCCCAGTGTAATATACGTATATGTGATACCTATACAGTGCTTGCCAAAATAGATGGTTTAACACTCACATGGTGCATTCATGATCCCAGCTTCATGCCGTCGACTTATGTACTTTGTAAGCTATATCCTGCCCATTTACCCTGGTGTTTTATGAGGCTACTTAATAACCCGCGGCTTGACCTTCTGCTCTACCAGATGTCTGATCCAAAAAAAATCTCACGGTGCACATGGTGCTTAGATCTTATTCTGTTTACTGATTTATAGTACTGAAGTCCCTGCCACAGATGCACCATGTAAAAAATTACATGATGTTGAAAGTTTTAACAAAATAAGAGGAGCATTACAAAGTATTACATACTTAAATATTTTTGTGCAGTAACTATGGCCAAAATCAGTCATTATAATGCAGGGTGAAATAATTACTTCATATGTCTGAGATTCTACAATTACCATTGTGGGCCCATCTATGACACACTTTAAGTAAAAACTGAATATCAAAATATTTCTGAAAGAGAAAGGTTCCTGGTTTTAGGGATCACCACAGTGGATCAACTGCCTCTGTCTCACCCCATTCCTAGCATCCTTCTCTGTAACACCATCCGTTATCCAGTATATCTACTATCCTTCCTCTGCACATGTCCAAACCCTCTCAGCTTTACTTCTCTAACTGCTTAACCAGAGTTACCCAGAGTTACTGCTGTCTTTTTGGTAGTTCCACAGTCTTCAAATCATACATCATACATAGAAGACTGACACTAGGAGTACAATAGGTTTCTGGCCTCTCCCATTTATTTACACAGTATATGTGTAAATGTCGAATTTTTATGATTTCTCTATTTGAAAGCAGAAATGTGGAACTGTCTGTGTGTTTATGTTGCTTTGTCATTTAATTGATGGTTAACAAATTGCTTTGCAACTGTTTTTCTTTCCCTCTGGTGTCTATTTTGTCATTTTGTTTTCAAACTCCATGTCTGCAAATTGCTGTTTTACCAATGCATTATTTGTACTGTCATATCTATCCATTTATATTTTTGACCATTAATCTAATTCAGCATCTCTGGGTGGTGGAAGAAAGGGCAGCATTCACCTTGGGCACAATGTCACTGCATCACCGTCCCAACACCGAGTGATAGACAGCCCTTCACACCAATAACCGATTTATAATCACCAATTAATCTAACAATATCAGACTTTTGTGATCTTTTGGCTTATTAATAATACAGTTAGAGGGATTTCTTCATTGATGCTGTGCCTCCATTTATGAGAATATTAGTGTGAATGTGTGAGCTGGTTCACAGTGGGCGGTAGGCTTGTGTGAGTACGTCTAGACAGATATTAACTGAACTCTTAATAACCTTTGCTGACCCTAAGGGTGGCTGATGATGCAATGCTCTGTGGGGAGACAAAATAGACGCTGAGGAGGCAACAGACACAGTCACACTGTTTCACAGTGTGCCAGACAATGAGGTAGACTGGAGCTCTGAACGAGGACACAGACAGTACTCCCTGACAAAATACAGCACAGCGTGAGCACACGCGAAAATATGAGAAAAGGTAGAAGCAGGCAGCATTGAGACTCACATTTGCATAAGAATGCTCAAACATAGTAACATGACAGACTTAGTAGTAAAGGCAGGAAGGTGTAAGGGCAAGGCTATTCTGAGGAACTAATTCTTAGTGAGTGCAAAAAGGAGCAGCTTTTTTGTTGATGCTTCTTCTCCGTTGAGAGGGAAGCGTGAAGAGATTGCTTAATATTTCCAGAAAAGGACACCAAACCAGCATCAACACAGAGAGCAAAAGTGCTCTGAAACGATAAGTACAGAGCTTTTAGTGTAGGCAGAAAAATGTATATCAATATATAAAGTGACAGAAGGCTGCATATCGACATTACATGAAAATCTGTTGGTCTGTGTCCAAATATCTGCAGTACTCCACCTCCCTGTGGGGAGGCGGGGTTTGTGGGGAAAAAAGCAAGCTTAACATCAATGAAATCGATTAGTGGAAACCAAGTGTTATGATGACTTCTATTTATAGTGAGGTCTGTTTGTGACACAGTAGTGGCTGCCACCCAATCCCCATTGATAATAAGTGAAACATACTGTATTGTTTGTTTTTATTTCTTCGTAAGTTCTTTGCATAAATGGCATAAAATTAGATTTTTTTAATAATACAAAACCGTGACACGTAACTTTCCTGTTAAACCTGTGATAATTCCCTGAAATAGCAGGTCCCTAGGTTAATAAAGCTCAAATGACCGCATACCTGAAAAGACGGATTTGTATACATGGATATAGCAACAGTTGTTAATGACAGAGTCTAAAAATACACACTCACTTAGTGGAGCCAGCAAAGTCATCTCTCACTGTGAAATGCTTTAATTGACAGTTTTACGACTCTTAATAAATTCTCAAATCACTATCACAACATAGCATATTCTGAAACATTTTTCCCAACTGCTGGAAACTTCATGTTCGTGTATTTTCTATGTGAATAGAGTACAGCAAATTATATTAATTAAAGTGTTAGTATTTTAAGAAAAAGCAGTATAATGTCTGGAAATGTAAAAAGAAGAAAACAAACATGCTTTATATATTCACAACAGAAGAAAAAACCTTATGCGATCAATCTTAGGGATTGCAAAAGACTATATACCAGTGTGTAACTGAGGGATTAGTCAGTGCTATCTCTGTTCCTATAGGAAGCTGCTTGTGCCAGTGAACTGTATTTCTGCAACAGCCATTCTGTCCGCCATACTAGGGATGTGTGGCAGATGCAGTAGAAATGTGTTTTATAAAGCCAGTGACTGGGTGTTGTCTTTGCAGAGCTACATCTATATGCTGCTAGCACCATCTAGTGGCAGTAGGTGTTATTGCTTCATTATGGGAGTGCTGTCCAGGGCAGGCTTATGTTTTGGTTTCCTGTGAGTAGTCACGGAGCAAGGGAGTGAAACAGATGCTGAGGCTCATGACATGACATGTACCTCCTATTTCAGGATCGCAAGCTGACCAAGGCAGAGCAGCAACGCTTCAAAGAAGAGGCAGAGATGCTAAAGGGGCTTCAGCACCCCAACATCGTCCGCTTCTATGATTCCTGGGAGTCTGTACTTCGTGGAAAGAAGTGCATTGTACTAGTCACTGAACTCATGACATCAGGAACACTCAAAACGTTAGTGTAACCTATCTGCTACAGATAGCTATTATTGAGTCTATGTTTATTACGTTCTAAAAAAATTTTTATTTCAGTTAATCTATAAAATTTGTTAATCCACATTCATTTTTCATTGTCTTGCCAACACCTTGGTACTCACTTCTGTTAATGAATTTGATGAATGGAGATTATTCATACCGCAAAACACAGTTTTTATTGTGCATAGAGTTAATGTACTATTAATCTGGACAGATGTGTTGCTTTATACAGAGATATATAATGTGTTTCAGGTGAAGTGTCATCACATTATCACAACACGTTCAAATTCAGGAAATATAAGTAATTCATAATATTTCGCTATCGCTGTCAGTGTTTTGACTTACACGTTTTGTCTATTGGTTGTTTATTACAATATCCTTTTGAGTTTGATTGCTTTTATTCTCTATCCACAGTTACCTGAAGCGCTTTAAGGTGATGAAACCCAAGGTCCTTAGAAGTTGGTGTAGGCAAATTCTGAAAGGCCTTCACTTCCTTCACACCAGGACTCCACCAATTGTCCATCGGGACCTCAAGTGTGACAACATTTTTATAACAGGCCCCACAGGATCAGTCAAGATCGGTGATCTGGGACTGGCCACTCTTATGAGGACCTCCTTTGCAAAGAGTGTTATAGGTAGGCTGCTTGCAGTTTATAGATTGAATGCTTTTTAGATCACTCATGCCCTGTCTCTACAAGATTAAGGCCTTTCCTCTGCATTCAGCACTACTGAGATTTTACAAAAGTCTCACTTAACTTCAGTAGACGTATAGTTTATTTCTATGTTAGTAGTGAATGTAGAAAGAGGGCACTGATGATGAAATGCCAGCTCTCTTAGCCTGCAGAAGCAGTGCCCAGTAAAGATAAATTAGATGATGAGTAGGTAGATTATTATCAGTTTGAAAATTCTTACACTGAGTCTGAGGAAATTTCTGCTTTGTGGATGGTATTACATCACTGTAAATACAAACTCTAATCTGTAGTGAAATAATATTTCGATGTTTGGGTTGTCATAGAGTACTGTTTGGTTTTAACAGGAACCCCGGAGTTCATGGCTCCAGAGATGTATGAGGAGCACTATGATGAGTCTGTGGACGTATATGCCTTTGGGATGTGTATGCTGGAGATGGCTACTTCAGAGTACCCCTACTCTGAGTGCCAAAATGCTGCTCAGATCTATCGCAAAGTCACAAGCGTGAGTCTTTGAAATATTCGCAAGCAAACTCTATGCATTTGTGGTGATGATGCATAAGGATCTAACTGATTGTTGTTTTATTTAATTGTGATCTAAACTATTTGGCTCAACTCTGAAAATGTTTTAATTGTTAAATGCAGGACTTAAAATCCTAATTACATAAGTTCCTGTAGAATACAATGAATTTCCTGTTTCTTTTATTTTTCAGGGTATAAAGCCAGCCAGCTTTGACAAAGTAAATGACCCAGAGATCAAAGAGATCATTGAAGGCTGCATTCGTCAGAACAAAAGCCAGAGGTAAGCAGAATTTGCTTTCATAACACTATGGCATCCACTCTATTATGCAGAGTGACTGGTAATGTGATCATTAAACGTCCCAGTCTCTTCTATCATCGAATTCTCCTTTCTTGACAGACTCTCCATTCGAGACCTGCTGAACCATGCTTTCTTTGGGGAGGACACAGGCGTCCGGGTGGAACTAGCTGAGGAGGACACAGGCACCCAGGACTGCCTGGCTCTCCGAATTTGGGTTGAAGACCCCAAGAAGCTGAAGGGGAAGCACAAGGACAATGAGGCCATTGAGTTCAGCTATGACCTGGAAAATGATAGTGCTGAAGAAGTGGCTCTAGAGATGGTAAGGCAGGAATAATTAATGCCTGACAAGCTGATCGGGTCCGTAGGTGTCAGGTACTGTTGACTGGGAAAAGGCCTTGATTTGATACTTAAACGCTTAAATGCAGGTTAGGAATTACAAGCCCTTCACTTTATCTATCAGCCACTTCAAGATTTCTCCAGCTGATCTAGATTTCCTCACCTGACATTTGCCCATTAATTAATTACTCTCTCTTTGCCTCTCTACATTACAGGTGAAATCAGGCTTCTTTCATGAAAGTGATGCCAAAGTGGTCGGAAAATCCATCCGGGACAGAGTGAACCTAATCAAAAAGTCAAGGGAGCGTCGACAGCAGCAGGTCCTTCAGCAGCAGGGCTTTGAAGAACGAAGAGACTCCACTCTCACTTCCTACACCTTTACTCATCCATCTTACCCATCCTCGCTGGTGCAAGGGGTAGCTGGACACACGGGAGACGGAGGGGGAGGTGGAGTGCAGGAGTCCGAGGAGCTTCCTGAAGTGGACCAACATGTCAGGCAGCAAAATATTTTCAGTGGGGCAACCCTAAATCTGCCAGGTACAGTGTGCTCCTTAGTGACATATCCCATGTGCCAGTAGCTGATCAAAATGTATCTATATGAAACAATTATAATGGTGAAATTTTAAATGAAAATTTTAAAATACATGAATATAATTTGAACTTTTTGTGTAGTCTGAATTTTTATAGTGTCTTATTTTTTAAATGTCTTTGACTACTCAGAAGGGGAGAGCATTGGATCTGCAAGCTGTGAATCTTATGCGAGTGGACAGAGCCAGGCATACTCTCTGCAGGGGGACTCATATACCCACTCACAGACCTCATTACCCACAGTTGCATCTGTAGGTGTATTTTTATATCTTACTGATAAAATTATTGTTTTTTGAACTTAAATACTGTATATATATTTATATATGTATTAATTTTTTCTCTTGCACAACAGAGCACTGGTGCATTGTCTCATCCTCAGATGCCCCCCATTGGTGAGAGTACAAGTGTTGCTACTATACCTCTTGGGCCGAGTGTTAGTATGACAAGCATGTCCTTAGGACAAAGTGGAGGAGGACCCATGGGTCAGACATTTCTTCACTCCGGTACTGTGGTTCCGCAGGTATCACCAAGTGTACCTCAACAATACTTTCAGGTGAAAATGGTGATAATGTGCAAACTGACAGCCTAATTTAACATAGGGGCAATGAAGGCTAACATTAATGTTAATGTGTTCTTTTCCATATAATAACTGTTTGTGCCAACATAAATCATCCTCATAATCATCTGAGATTCGCCATCTGGTTTTACACTACACAGGGTTTCCCCCAGGAAGTTGTTTGTCAGAGGTGGTGAGATGTCTCTCTCATTAAATACTATATTACCTTGGAGTGTGAAATTGTGATTCTGGTTAATTTTGTGGGGAGGCAGCCAACCTCTGCTATAAAGCACTGTGGGACACCCTGATTAAAATTAAATGTGTTGATAATTGATGCTTCTTTCCAAAGCTTAATCTTAACCCACTTTTTCTGCTACTTTCTTTTCCCCCTTCTTTCAACTCCAAACATCATTCTGCCATTATCGCAATAGTCACAAACATTCCCATCAGATGATTTTCAAACCGCCGCTCCCCACGGATCAGTTGCCCCTTCACAGTCATACATACCACCTGTTTCCCCACAGGCACCCATTAATGTTCTCACTGCATCCATGCCAGTCAGTGATACTGCTGGACTAGCAAGGACAATTGTGCCCCACGCTCAGCAGACCCAACACCCTGCCACTCCCATGCAGATCACTGACATCATTTCCCAGGCCGCACCCCAACAAACACAGTCTGTCGTGATCCCCCAGCAGACTATTGTCCCACAACAACAGATGGGAATGGATCCCCAGACCTCCACCCTTCATTTGCAGCAGCAGCAGCAGCAGCCACAACTGCAAATAGGGGGGCAGTCAGCTGAGCTTGAACAACAACAAGTTACTGCCGCTCAGCCTGCAACAGAACAGCATCAACACAGCCTTTCAGCTACGTCCATCGAGAAACATCAGTCTGAGACTCAGCAGCAGATCTGTGTACAGCAGTCTGCCCCACACGTCCAGCCAGCTTCACAGCAGCATGTGTTCACACCACAAACAGGTATGGAGCAGCGAGCTATGCAATCAACAGGGGATCCCTGTGAACAGATAATGCTACAATCACAACAACAGCTTCAGCAACAGCAAACTTTGTTACAACAGCAGCAGCAAAAAGAGCAGCAGCAACAAGCTTTACTGCTTGAGCAACATCAGCTGTATGTCCAGCAACAGCTTGATCAGCAACAACAAAGAGCACTGCTTCAACAGCAGCAGCAAGCCCAGCTGCAGCAGCAGCAAGCGCTTATACAAAAGCAACTGTTGGATCAACAGCAACAGCAACAAACTCTCATTCAGCAGAAACAAGAGCAGCAGCAACAAGGTCTTGGACCGCAAGAGCAACCAATTTTTCAGCATCAGTTAGAGCAACAACAACCAAAGCAACCTCCTTCACAGCAACAGAGTCAGTTATATCAACAAATTGGACAGCGCCAAACTGGAACACAAAAGGAAACAGAGAATCAGCAACAAAGTGGGCAAAACGAGCAACAAATTTTATTGCAGCAGCATCCCCAGCAGACGCAGCAGCAGAATGAACAACAACTGCAACAGCAGGCCTTAATCCGGCAAATGGAACAGCAGCAGGCACTGATACAACAGCAGTTAATGCTACAGCAGCAGCAGCAGCTTCAACAGAAAGCTCAGCTGCAGCAACAAGAGCAGCAACAAGCGCAACTCAAACAGCAGATAGAGCAGCAGCAGCAAGCTCTGTTGCAACAACAGTTAGAGCAGCAGCGTCAACAGCAAGTCCTGTTACAACAGCAAGCAGAAAGATTACAGCAACAGGCTCTAATGAAGCAGCAGTTTAAAGAGCAGCAGCAAGCTTCCATCATTCAACTTCAGCAAACTGAAAAACACAAAGCTGTCCCTATACCACAAAGCAACAGTGAGCAGCAGATTCATCATCAACCAACCGATATACAGCAGATGTGTATCCCACAACTGAACTCTACTCAGTTTACACCTCATGCTTCTCAGATGATAGAGCAACAGCAGCAAGTAGCACTGATGCAGCAGCAGCAGGCATTTGTTGCCCAACCACAGCAGCACACATCTGTAATGGAACCTCACATATCAGTTGGCGCACCAGTCAGTACTGAGGTAATTCATCACCAAACTTATATTATATCTCAGGGCCAAGTGCCCATGACCATTCCTACTACTGTTCAGACGCCTGCAAGTGTCCCAGCTCAAATCCTTACACAGCAAGGACAAAGTGAGGCTCAGCCCCAGAACCAAGGCCAGAGCCCAGCCAAGTTTATAGCTCAGTCTGCAGCCCAAGCACCTCAAGCTATGACAGAGGGCCAGGTAACTACCCCATTATCATTGATTCAGGGACACACACAAGTCATCCAGAGCCAGCAGGTTCCTTCCCAGAGTAGTTACCCTGGGCCTGTTACTCCCACACAGAGTCAGGTAACTTCTCAGCCAATCCAGGCTCATCCTCTGACCACAACCTTTACTCAGTCACAGCCACTGCATGGCCAGGTCCCAAAGGCTGATGTTCAAATGACGGGCCAACAAAGTCAAACTACTGTCCAGCCTCCAGGTGCAGTTGCTTCAATCCCCAGTCAGATTCAACATGAAACTCTTATTCAGCAAAATGCTCAAATGCCAGCGCTCACCCAGCCCCAGATCCAACAACAAACTCAAGGCCAGCAAGCTAGCCAGTTGCATGCTCAGTCTGCTGCTGGTCCTTTGACCAGTCAGTATGTCCCTCACCCTACCCAGCAAGCCATACCACCTGTACAGTCTGATATAACTCATATTACCCAACAGCTGGAACAACAGCACCCAGTAATCCAGTATCAGCAGATGATTCTGTCACCTGGCTCAGCTGGAAGTTGTGGAACTAAAACAGATGGTCTCAATGCAGTAACTGCCCCTCTTCATCCTATACAGACCAAACAAGCACAAGTCCCAGGCCAAAGATCACTACATCCAGTTGTTCAGGGTGACCCTTCAGTAATTCAGTCCATCTGCCAGCCTGCTGTTCCTCAGTATACTGAGCAATACCAACAACAGCTGCAGAAGCTTTCTCACGTGCAGCAATCTCTCGCCATGCCACCCCCACAGACCCAGCTACCGGCACTACCCAGCTCAACTCCCGTTCAGCAACCACTTCCTCTGAAACCAGCTTTGATAACCTTTGACGAGAGTCAGCTTCCCTCACAGTGTCAACCTACTTCACCTCTAATGACCATTGCTCCTGGACAAGTAGGCCCCAATAATGTGGCTGAGCCTCAGTCCCAGGGCAAGACCCCGTCTCTGTATAGCCACCTAGTGCTAGGTGCCCCTCCTTCTCCACAGCACCATCCCAAGCAGATGCCACCAACTCACACACAAACACAAGCCAGCAATCAGGCCCAAGCACACTCTCAAACACAGATACACACTCAGACACACTCTGAGGCACCTATATCTGAGCAGCCTATTTTGCCCCATGCTGTCTTTCCTACGCAGCAAGTGCCCCTAAGCCCTTTGCATACCTCATGTCCTTCTACACTATCATCTCTTACATCCCTGCCATCCACCTATCCTGCTGTTGCCCCTGCTCCAGAGCTGCCTACATCTTCACCAGCAGCCCAGGTAACCTTACCAGTGCAAGTCGACTTTATACCCACCTCCCCTCTGCCTGTTACTACTCTACAATCACTTGATTCTAATGCCCCCAAACTGACCCAAGGCTCGCTGCAAGACTGTGACCTTTCCCTGCTGGGCATTGCTCAGGTACAAGAAGTATGAAAGTTTGCTTTATAAATTTGATAATAACTTTACTGACATGCTGGCACAATAAGTAAGCATACTGCTAAATCTAAATATTTGAAAATAAGCTTTGACTGCACCTTTTTGATTCATACTAACAAATTTTGATTCCTAAGTGTATTCATAGAACATGTCCTATATGTCATTTGTCATAATCACACTATTGCTTTACTTGCCGTTAACATAGCTAATCTATTTTTGCATTCTTTTCTTCATGCTGGCATGGTTTGTGCGCGTGTGTTTGTATATATGTCACTCTACAGGATGGTCCTTGTAAGACAAGTGCAGATCGTCATTCTTCATCAGGGTAAGTGATATCATTGCAGTCTGATTTCCATATAAATGTAATCTCAGTACTGAGTGAAGCTGTAATTTGCCATACAAGGACTTAAAACATGCTCAGAGACTTGGTTTTTCTTTTAAATTGAATTCATTTTGCAGCTAAGTAGTAGTGCAAAAAGATTATGTTTTTTAGAAATCATAAAAGAGTCTTATGATGTAATAATGTTTTACATTTGAATCCTTTACAATTTCACATTAAATGTTGAGTGAGAGCCTTTAAACTGCTTCAAGCATGGCTGCTGCTTTTAGATCATTTGTGGAAAACTCCTCTGCATTTTTCCCTGTGTTGCACTAGATTTTAAACACTGTGGCCAAATGACAAGCCTTTATCTTTAAAGGCTCATTTTGGGTAACAATGCATAGTCTCAGTGATCTTTCTTTGGCAGGTCAGGAGTATTTGGTTTTGGTTGTTCTGGTTCAGCCAGAAAAGTCCATTGCACTGTGTGCTGACCTGCAATAACACTATGACAGAAACCATAGTTCAGGTGGTTTTTGTTGGATGTTCTTCTCATTGACAGTCTGACCCTCAGGGTCAGATTCCTCGTGCATAGACCTGCCAGTATTGAAAACAATGAGAAGTTTGCTTCTGTTTGGGCCTCTGACTAACGTGCCACATTTGGAATCGGACACACTGGTGTTTGATCTCTGCTTCATAGACAGGAACTTTGCTCTTATTAGCAGTGATGATTCTGGACAGCCATTCACAAATGCAGGTTAAAGCTTTATTATGCAAAGGATAATCCATATGTAAACATCAGGAACACAGACATCTTCCCTGGGCTAAAGTTCATTTAAAATGGACTGAGGCAAAGTGTAAATATGGTCTGTGACAAACAAAGTTTGAAATTCTAATTGGAAAACATGAATGCTGAGGCACCACACTAAATAGGGAAGGGACCATCCAGTTTGTTATCAGCACTCAGTTCAATAACCTGCATCTCTGACAGTATGTGGTTACATTAGTGCCTATGTAATAATAACCCTGAACATCTGGAAAGGCACCATCAGTGCTGAAACATGTATACAGGTTTAGAGCAACACATGCTCCCATTCAGATGACATCTTTCTTAGGGAAGGTCTTGCATATTTTAGCAAGACGGCGCTAAACCACATACTGCATCTTTTACAACAGCGCTGGCTTTTTGGTAGAAGACTCCAGGTGCTGAAGAGGCCTGCCTGCAGTCCAGATCTGTCACCCATTTAAAACATTTAATGCATCATGAAATTAAAAATACCACAAAGAAGACACAGGATGTTTGAGCAACTAGAATCCTACATGAGACAAGAATAGGACAATATGCCTCTCCCAAAAGTTCAGCAGCTGGTCTCCTCAGTTCACAGATGTTTACAGACTATTGTTAAAAGAAGAGGGGACGCTACCAAATGGTAAACAGGGCCCTGTCCCAACTTTTTTGAGACATGTTGCTCCAATGAAATTCAAAATGACCTGATTTTTGAGATTTGGAAATCATTGCATTCTGTTTTTTGTTTTTTTTGCTGTTTTATACAGTATCCCTACTTTTTCATAATTGAGTTTATACATTTATACACACTTAAGATTTACAATACAATTTCTAATCTCCATGACACCTTTAGGTGTATACCAGCCAGTGGCGAAGACCCCTTGCAGCTCTTGGCGAATGGAAAATTAGAGAAACTTAAGTCTCAGAGACGAGCTTCCAGCCAGAAGTCTGAGAAACGCCAGTTTCAACTGAGCATGCTTCAGGTGAAAAAATATAGGAAACACCAGCACTGACTTTATTACTATATTTGTTAAAGTATATTTATGGATATTAAAAGATTAATAGCAAAGAATAAATGTGATTATTTGTCTTGTACTTAATAGGTGTCGGGCAGTGGGGACAATATGGTGGACTGTCAGTTGGAGACTCACAGCAACAAGATGGTGACATTTAAGTTTGACATTGAAGGGGATGCACCCGAGGACATAGCAGATTACATGGTACATTACTGTATGATCCTGTAGTTTGCACTTATTTTGAAAAGTATTGTTTTAATTTTTGATGACTGCCATTTGATAAAACTTTGCAGGTGGAGGAGGACTTTGTCCTTGATGTGGAGAAAGAAACATTTGTTGAGGAGCTCAGAGCGATAGTTAAGAAAGCCCATGAAATTCTTCAGACACATTCAGAGGTACTATCAGTCTAGCCTCTTTAGTTTTTCTGTTTTGTTTGAATAATGCTGAATCTGAGAAAACGTGAATATATATACAAAATGATAAATCCTTATTTTCGTACTAGACTGGATCGACTGACCAGTTACAAGTCAGCACTCCCACTTACTCCAGTAAGTTTAGGCATATACAAATGTTCTGGTAGAATGGGAATATGTTCTATGTGATGTTTCTCAACTTAGTAGAAAACAGTAAACAATCTTTACGGTTTCTCAGTGGACCCAGTGCCCCATTCCTCCCCAGTGGGACGTTGGCGGTTCTTTATCAACCAGACTATCCGCCACAGAGACTCTCTTTCCAGTCAGGGAGCAACCACACCATCACCCACTGCAGAGACAAGGATTCCCCAGTCTCCTAAAAGAGAGAAAGGTGAGCACTCCTGGAGTCGGTTTTATTACTTTGGCTTATTAACATGGCCCATTTGGCCACATAACAAAAACTTAACTCCGTGTTCATTTCTGCGGCTGTAGAAAGTGAAGGATCCCAAAGTCTGGAGTCCTTGAGTGGAATGGGCTCTCCTTCCTACCCCACCCTTTCTGCCACCTCCCCCCCAGACTCCACTGTTTCAGTACCTACTTCCATGAGCCCCTCTGCTACCGCAGCCCCTGTTCATCACACAGCACCTGAAACCAGGCCTGGACCAGCCTCTGTCCCTGTCACCACCTCAACTGGCCTTATCTCAGCTTCTGCTGACCAAATTTCTATTGCTCCTTTAACTATAGCAACATCTGCTGCTGCTCCTGATGCTAACCTCACCAGCTTGTCCACTGCTCCTGCTGTTGTGTCTCCCTCACCCATCGCTATTCATCCTGATAACCTGACTTCTCCTGGAACCAGTGTTTGTTCCACTGCGAGTCAAAGTGTAGATGATACTCTGATCTCTGCTTCAAGGCCCCGTATGTCTGCCGTGGACCAATCTTCAGCCTCTTTTCATTCCCCTTCTCCTGCTGTAGTCATCCCTTCTACTGTAAGCCAACTTGGCATAGAGCAGCAGCAGACATACACCCAAGTAACCCAACCAGCCCCACAACAGCCACACCAACAGCTACAGTCTGCATCACAGCAGCAAGTACCATCACCACAACAGAAACTGCAGTCCCAACATCAGGTGTACCACGAACAAGTACCACTACAGCAGGAACGAGCACTTCAGCAGTCTCTCCAGCAGTTGCATCAGCAGCAGCTAATTCAAACACAAATACCACTTCAACAACAGCTGACTGAGGTGCAGGGAATGTCTCAGCATTGTCATTCAGAGGTGTTACAGCAGTCTCTGCCTCTGCCACCTTTTCCTCAGCAGCCAACCGAACAACCCCTTGTTCAACAGCAGACATCAAAGTTTTCCCCACAGTTGCTGCAGCAGCCTCAGTTACAGCAGTTACAACAGCAGATTATGAGTCCTGCTGGTCCATTGCCCCCCAAACAAGCCCACATTGATCAACAGCAGCAGCAGCAGCAACAGTTAAACCTACAACAGACATTACACTTACAGCAGCAGCAGCTACAACAGCAACAGCTTCAGATGTTTATGGGTGCTGCAATTTTGAAACCAGATCAAAACCAAATGCTGCCCCTATCAGTTAGTCAGCAGTTTCTTCAACAGCAGACACAGCTAAATGTTTGCCCAGTACCACAACAGCAGGTCCCACAACAAACCCAAGTGCCTGCTGAGCTGTTATCACAACACATACAGGCACAGAAACAATCACAATATACTGAGCAGCAACAGGAGATGGTTAAAGCTGTGGACACGCCCCTCAAACAGCTGCAGTTTCCACTACAGAAGCAGTCCTCCTTACAGATGTCAGAGTCAGAGGTGTCCACGGGAGAGACAAGTGTTACAGAGGACACAGGGAGTTATTCTGCCCCCTTTCATCCCTCCTCTGACTCCTCTCTGCCACCTCTGCATCTGGGAACTGCTGAAACCCCCTTACCCACATTCTCCCACGTAATGACGCCATCCCCCGTTCAACCTTCCTCCGTAGCCGAGTCAGACAGCGAAGGCCCCCCCAAAATTGAATTTGTAGACAACCGCATAAAAACCTTGGATGAAAAGCTAAGGAATTTGTTGTATCAGGAGTACAGCAGTGGGACAGCATTGGCTGGGGGGGCTACCTCTGGCCCAACATCAGCTGCCTCCACATCAGCAGGTGGTGATGAGTCATCAGAGCCACAGTCAATCCACCACTCATCTTTCCCCCCACCTGCCTCCATCTCAGATACTTCCCCACAGTCCTCATCCTCTACTACTTCCTCCACCACCTCCCGTTCGTCTTCCACTTCTCCTGACCCAGAGAGAGAAGGAGGTGGAGAGAAAGCTTCCAAAGAGGTGCCCAACTCTATGGAGTTGGACCCAGTGGAGCAGCAGCTTGGCCCATCACTCCTCACCACCTCTGTCTCATCCAGCCCACCCACCCCTCTTCTGCCTCCCAATCAGGATGACTCTGCTGGGCCCCAACGCCCACCTGTACCAGGAGAACCAACCATTCTTGTGAGTGAATACCACAGATTAGATTTCAAGTAAATTCTCCTTCAGTTTGTCTTTCACTGTAGCGAATTATAATTATTGTTCTGTTTCAGTGTGTAAATGTGACTCCACTATGTTTCAGCTGTCCGCGATTATTTGTATTATATAAATGTTTGAGTATCTCTGCGTTCTTTTTATATCTCAACTCCATGCAGCCACTCTTAATTGTCTTAACTGTTCTAGGCTGTACCCTCACATTCTGACACCAGTGCCATTGGAGATGCATCATGGCCCCCCAATCAGCAACCGATCCCCCTCCGGCACGGACAGCAGCAGCACAATGCAGGAGGTGGATATTTTGGCCTAAACCTGACATGTCCTAGTATCAGAAATCCTGTTAGCAAGAAATCCTGGACTCGAAAATTCAAAAACTGGGCATGCAAACTGCGTCACTCCGCCAGCTTGTTCAAGAAGCCCAGAGTCCAGCAAGGTAGCGTCCTTTTAGGGAGTAAGCGCGCGCGAGAGAGAGCGAGAGCGAGAGAGAGAGAATGGGATGTTGGGGCATGGACCTAAATCTAATATCTTGTACTAATTTTAACATAGCAAAATAACTTTTTTAACCTTTAAGGCTTTAAAGTTAATGTTAATGGACATTAATGTTTCCAGCTAAATAATACTGTTTTATGTATGTTTTTTTATTTGGTTATAGTCCCCCCTGTAAGTCCCTAGTGTTGACATCACTGCATACATTACTGTTTGTTTTTATTTATTGATTTTTTTTTTCTAAATTCCTTTTTACTAAATTTCATTTTCTTGGCAGTCTTTCTTTGTGCATGACTTGCTCACTCAGGGGCGAGAACAGTGGAGCGTAGAGGAGGGTGGGAGATTGGCACAGTGTAGGAAGAGTTTGGCATCACAAATCTGATGTCCTCCCAGTGCTGATGAACTATGGAGTAAAGACAAGCTGTGCCTGTGCCAAGGAAATATTCCTTCACATCACACCTCCCTTCATTGTCCCAAGTCCACAGGCACTGCCAGCAACAATCATCTCAACTGCACCTGCTGACTCAGTGTAGACAGCGTAATGCAACTCACATCATTACACAGATAGCATAGATGCTAAGTTACCAAGCTGATGTTATGTAATTGTTTGTAGTTCAGAATACATATAGGCTTATCCTGTAAACTCATACACAGTAGCACTGCTCCAAAACAATAACATATGATGTAGCTGTAGTGAAGTAAGTGAAGGTCATAATATGTTAGAATGCAGTGTGTGCATTACCAAAGGATTGTAAGTTACTGCCGGGCTCTTTTGCACACGTTTAGGCTTTCCATATAGCTACGTTTTATCATGCTTTTCAAGTATTCCAGTCATCTTGCATGTAATCGTGTTTATGTGTGTAAAGTGTGTAGCAGTAGCTTAGATCTTCTGTTACAAGAGCACATGCATGAGCATGTATGTTATGTTCTACACGCGTGACTAATAATGGACCATTACCTGTAAGTAACACATATACCAGGCTGTATATATTTTATGTTAATTTTTATGTTTTATTTTTCCCTTAAAAATGGCTGTGGTGACCCATGTACACACTCTAATGTCGTAATCCCAAATATCAAACACACTGACCAATATCACTGTTGCTCTGACAAAGATCTTAAATGTGATATTGGGCTACATTGTCTAATGAGTGGGTGGAGCAGTGATGACAGTGAGAATGAGAGCGTGGATGTGTGGGTGGGCTATACTGTATTTAACTGGTATTTTAAAATATGTTTTTGCTTTTAATGAATGCATTTACCACTACTCCCCACACCTCACGAAGTTTTTTTAACAACTTTAAATTCACAAAGACCTCATTTTAAAATTGACATCCACAGAAAGTATGTTTACACAGTTTACAGATTTGCATGCATGTTAAAGAAGTCACAATGTTCTGTGATTTGAATGGCCAATTCTTAACACTGTGCCTTTGTGTTTGTTCTCCGTGTCTGTCCTTTTGCATTTGTATGTCTCACTGTCATGTGCATTTTTCTGTTTCTGTTCCTTTGTTGTATGTCTGTATCATCATTTGTGTGTTTTTTATACGTGTGTTTGTGTTTTTGTATCTTTGTCCTTGTCTATCCCTTTTGTTTTCATCCCTTTCTCATTGTCAGAAGCAGATTCAAGCAGTCAGCTGTTTAAAGATGGGAAGGCAGGAGCACCACTTAATCCACCGCAGCCTTCTAAAGGACGTTTTCAGGTAGGAGCACATTAGCTGATTCTTGTTAGTCTCAGTCTTTGGCACAGTCTGAACTAGGGCTGCAACAAAAAATTTTGGTAGTCGACTAATCTGCCAGTTTTTCTTTGATTAGTTGATTAGTCATCGATTAATGTTTCATATTCATATGTTTCCGGGTCAAAATAATGACCCAGGAAACGCTTAGCAAGTATCATCCTGAGCAGTTTCTGACAGTTAAGCTAACATAAACATGACGGTACGAACATTTACATGAACAAGGTATCAGTGTGACGAACTAACTTAACTTTCTAAAACTGACCCATTCAGAGTTGATGTCACAGCTCCAGGGGGCCGGCCTTTTAAATGTCCGTTCTCGGCAGTATTGCTGTTGTGAAAGGAAAGCGCCGCTTTGCACAGTCTGCATTTAACTTTGCTTGTTTTCTGTGAAATGCTTTCACATTTTTTAAAATCTCTGTTTCCATTTTCTGCTGACCTCCTGTTTTGCAGTTCGCACTACATTCTTTTTCCTTAGTATTGTCTGCAGTCTTGGCAGACGATATAGGTGATACTTCCCCCATAGCTTCCTGTAGTGTATTGCAGTTACAAAAACACATTTACTTGGTATTAGTATATGAAGCGTTGACATCAACTAATTTTTATAGTTGAGTCATGAATTATGCCGACAAAATGTTGCAGCCCTGGTCTAAACAAGCAATGATGATTTCTCACATTATTAATCACCAGGTGACTCCAGTGCCCCAGACCTCTCCTCCAAAGGATCGCCCGTCGGGCCATGGTGGCACTCACAGAAAAGTTGGCCGTTTCTCTGTGACCCAGACTGAGACTAAGAAAGATGACAGGCAGACTGACAGCTCGCCAGTGTCTCCTGATTTGGTGAGGGAGAGGAGGAAATCTCGGGCAAAGGAAGGAGATAAAGAAGAAAGTAAGAGAACGCCATCAATGGCCCACGCTCCTCGAGGTCCTGGCCACAGCCACTCACCCCTTGGAAGCAGTGATGATGATGATGAGAGTGAGCTGGAGGATGAAGACCTGCGAAGAGAATTACACAAGCTCAGAGAAAAGTAAGTCAACAAGGGAAAGAAGTTTTATTATTGTACAAGACTTTTGCCTCTCCATTTATTGAATTTTCTTCTTTGTGTCTCCGTTTATTTTTGTTTCTTTCCCACAGTACATAACCGTTCTCTTTCTCTGTAGGCACATCAAAGAGGTGGTTTCCCTTCAGGCTCAGCAGAACAGAGAGCTCCAGGAGCTGTACAGACAGCTTCGTTCCCTCAAAGACCAAAGACAGAGTCTGCCTGCCTCCCTATCTCGTACCCCTCCTCTTCCTGCAGCGCCCCCTGCCCTCTCACCTCGCAGGCCCAGGCCAACCAAAACAAAGTTTCGGGCCAGGCCTCACTCTCACGTAGACAACAATGGAGTTACACATGCTGGTGAGGCTTTTACTATTTCTTCCTCACTTTCTTGTTTTGTTTTTTTAGATTTGCTCTCTGCGAAACTGTGTCTTGTATGTCTCATCCAGGGATTCAGCAGTCAAGCAGCTTTTCAGGTAGTGAAAAGAATAGGCTGTCACTGTACTGCAAGCCAGAGCACCTTACTACGCTACCTGCTAAAAGAGGTACGGTTTATCCTCGTAGTGCTAAAATCGGGTCAGCATACCATAATTAATGTCAGTTGGTGCCATGACGAGTCGCCTTGTTTTTCCACAGATCACAGTCCTCTAAGAAAAAGTACATTCACAGACGAGCTGCACAAACTTGTTGATAATTGGACAAAGGAGACAGTGAGCACCACCCCGCCTAAGCCTTCACTGAATCAAATTAAGCAGATTCAGCAGGTGCAGGAGTTGGGAGGCTGGAGCCAGGGAACTGAGGTAGGACTACACATGAAAAGTGCTGTTGGTATATCAGGCATGTCTTTCTTAATAATTAATTATTTGGATAAATAAACTTTATATATTTCAAATGCATTTTACTGAAAACTGTGGCTTATTGTTTATGAGAGGAAAAAAATCTTTTTTGAGTGTGATTTTGAATTACCAAACAATTCTCCATGGTTTTTGGTGATGATGATACAACTAAGTCAGAAAGCTTTAAGAGTTTTAGACAGTTCTTGAGCCAAAAGTACCAAAAGGTTTGTTTTGTTATTGTAGTCATAGTCTCTAAGTATTTACTGCTATATTTGTGCAGGTGGCTCCCCCAGGTTGGTTTCCAGTGGCACAGGCGCCCACAACCCCTGCCAGTTTGACTGTGGCACCCTCTTCCCATTACACGGGTGGAGGAAGCCTGTCCACCCTGCACTCTCCAGGACCTCCACCACAAACACACTTGGCTCAAGTCCCGCAGATGCAGCAAAGTTTACACCTTCATCAGTCTCTCCCCCTCCAGCAGATTAGCTATCCACAGTCCCAACTCTGCCAGCAGATACCACAGCCCCTGATGCAAACTCCCATGCAGTCTCAGTCTTTATCACAGACACCACCCATCGCCCAGCCTCAAAGCCAACCGCTGCTGCCTTCCCAAATGCCCACATCACCAGTGTCCACCGCTACATCTTTGCTGCCTGGTAGTGGTACCGCTGCACCCACAGATAGCGCTGCTGCTGCTGCTGGTGGGGCATTTTGCTCCTGTTCCTCACCCTCTTCCACCTGTTCCTCATCGTGCTCTACTGCTGCTCTACCTACCAGTGCCAAAATTCACCAAACACCCCCCACCTCTACTCTTCCTCTGGGACAGAAATGAAACCAGGTGAAGTGTGAGGCCAATATGAAGGTCCAAGAGATGGACGTAAAGCAGATCCATTTAGAGTGTTAGTTCTGTGTACGTGTGCGAGAGTTGTGACTGCAATGACATATGGGTTCTAGTGTACTTGTGGATGTGATGGGAAATGAATGTGAAAGAAAGGTGATAGGTTGTAGCATGTACAGGCAGAGGGTAATGTGAAGCATGGCTGGGGTTTCTGAATCAGTATTGAGCTGTATAAAGTCTTTGATGTATGAGTGTGTGCATTTATGAGTGTGGGTGGATTATTTGAGTACATATCACTTCTGTCTTTGGACACAAAATAACATTAACGTTTTTGTTTGCAAACCAACTCAGCGGGACCTGAAATCTCCCTAAGCAGAGACGAGAAGGACAAAATATTTGACGGTGTTGACATTTTTCTTTGGATTTGTCAATGCTTACAGTGAAAGGACTATCAATTTTTAAAAGTGCAATTAGTAATGATCATCTAAATTGATCAGCACGTATTGTTTTCATTTGTCTTTAAGGCATAAAATATTTTTGTAGAAGCACAATGATTAATACCTGATGCATAGGGGATTTTGTTCATCATATTTTAAAACGGTAAGCCTACAGATCAAGTGTTTCAAAGGCAATCAGAAAAAAAACCCCAAACTGACAGCAGCATGTTTCAGAGGTCAGCACTTATCCGGCTATCCATTTAACTGCAGTGCAAACAAACACACTGTCGAGGTGTCGTGTACCTGTACAGCATGTGCTTGATTTTATATTGTTTTATGTTTGTAACAAAATTAATATGACCAGATGACTCCATAATATGATGGTAAATTCAAATCTGCCATCTCTGTTCAGTAAATATTTGGGTGCATTCAACCCAGGACTGCATGATTTTATGGCTGGCTTGACTTGCCTAGTGCAAACTGCTTGCACTCGCTGTATATTCATGAATCTCACAGTTACTGTTTGCAGCCCACTGAGGTAACGAGTCATATACATTTGCTTTCAATATGATATGATTTCACATTTGACATTTTCATTTATTTCTGCTGCATATCATCTATACCAGTGCTGAAGAGGACGATTTAAAAGGAAAAGAAAAAACTGCCAAGTTATCATTAACTAAATTATAAAGGTATTCTCATATTGCCTTTTTCTAAAAATACTGCATTTTTGTGAGCGTGTGAGTTTATTTTTTTCTGTGTGACAAAGTGTTGTAATAGTCCTGGTATAGTGCATTAATTCATGCATCAAAGCAGCCTCTCAAATGTCACTGTAGTCAAGTGGAATTGTTTACGCTGCCTATGTCTTAGGCTTACTTTCTAAAAAAAGAAGAAGAAGAAGAAGAAGAAAAGGAAAACAACAGAAACAAAACAAGTGAGCGCTTCAGTCATACACCAGTTCTAAGTTTGATCAACACCAATGTGAGATCCTCACATGCTCATGTGTCAGCTTTGTTTGGCATTGTACAAATTCCTTGTTTCAATTGTGAGCAATTTAATTATTAAATATAGCCTGTTTGAATTCAACGATCAGAAGATGCAATGTGGGCCACTGTGCTTTATGCACACAACTAAAGGTTTACTCGAGTCAAACATCCTTCATTTCTTGATTTCTAAACTCATTTTGTAGTTGAAGACATTCAGAGTAATATATCACCAGCAGATATATTACTGTACACTCTGACAGCTTATCAGCCATACACACATTAGACCATCGATGGTTAGGTGTTAATACATTTTTTTGGTCTAATAAATAGCCAGTAGTCAAAGCGGTATTTTTGATTTATTAATAATAGATTGTGTGCCACAGAAAGCAGGTGATTTAACAGACAAAGACTGCTAAATGTAAATCAAAGGCATGAAACACGAGTGGTTAAGAGGAATAGTTCATGCCAAGTGGTATGGTTGTTCAGAAGCGGCATAATCTAGAATATAAATTTACAGTACTCAGTATGTGTTGCTTTTCAAGACTACCCACATTTTCACAGAGATGTACTGTAGTTCATTATTAGTGAAGGTGTGTGTGTTGTCATGTCTGATACTAACATGCATCTAACAAGCTACAGCTTAATGATTATGACTCATGAAGAGAAGCTGACTTTGTCCTTGAAGTGTTACCAAAATGTGATCGAAAAGACAAAGATTATTTTTGTATTTTGGAATGAGGTTGTACAAATTGTAAAATTGTGTTCTCCCCGCTACAAATCAGAGGTTATTTGAAACTAGAAAACTGGTTTTCATCCATGTTTACATGGGACTCCCTGTCTTGCTCTAACTCTGACAGGCGAAGCTCATTCCGGATCATATTCAGATCATTTTTGGTTATTTTGCCATCATATTTTAGTTTTGAACCACTGCAGCCCAGATGGTACATAAAGTAATGACACCTCACCTTCCCACTGAGCTTTAGGTCACATTAAATTAAATTAAAATAAAATTAATACAAATTAAACAGAAAATCTGGGGGCTCCCAAAATGACACGATTGAGAACCATGGTTAAAAAGTACATTTGGGCAGAAAAGAAAACTAAAGGAATAATGTATGTTGCGGGTGATTTAGCCTCTGTAAATTCTAACTAATTCATCTGTTGATTTTATTTATGTTTTGTAACTAATCAAAATAAATGATGTCAAACATCAAATGACACCAGTGTATAGGAGGTTTATTTGTACCGTAAGTTCACTGGGCACGTGGGATGTTCATATATATGCTATATATATGTGTTATTATGATGATAAAACACAATAATCATTTGTAAAACAAGTAAAACCTGGGCTACATTGCCAATCAGAAGTTTTTTTCTTTAATTTCATGACTATTTACATTGTAGATTCCCACTGAAGGCCTCAAAACTGAATGAACAGATATGGAATTATGTAGTAAACAAAAAAGTGTAAAAAGTCAAAACATGTTTTGTATTTTAGATTCTTCAAAATAGCCACCTTTTCCTTTGATTACTGCACCCTCTTGACATTCTCTCACTTAGAGAAGCTCATTTAGAGAAGGCCAAGGGTTTGCAGGGCTGTCAACAAAGCGAAGACTTGCTAATTTCAGGAATCTAAAATATAAAACATAATAGAATTATTTATCATTTTTTTGTGCTACATATCTCCCATATGTCTTGCTTCATGTATTTGATGTTTTCGTTATTTATCTAGAAAAACCATTAAATGAGAAGGTGTATCCAAACTGCTAGTCTGACTGGCAGTGTATATATATCTGTTAGTGCCAGACGTTTTTCTCCATTCTCCAGAGGAGCCTCACAGATCACAGCAGCTAACACCACTTGACCTTCGGTGCATTCCTGACCTGGAATCGCTGTTAATCATAATGCCAGGATGTGAGAAAGAGTGCCAGGGAATAAAAACATTTTTTATAAATAAATTTCATAAGTGACGAAGGGCCTTAGGCAAATTAAAAAGAGAAAAAGATAATTGAATTATAAAATATATGTACACTTGAATCACAATCCTGATCACGACACTCCACCAGTTGCACTCATAGACCGATGTGTGTGGTTTGCATTTCTTAACACAGGTTCAATAAAATGACAACGTGAAAAATAATGACGTAAATACAAACTTTTTAAATTATAAAATCAGGTTACTGAATGTTGGCAATAATTATTTATTTTACTTGAAAAGAAATATCCGTTTCAAATTATAGTTTGTATTCTGACTGACATAAAGTGTGAAGGGAAAAGAGATTAAAACAATTACAATTAAACGTTATGAGGGTGTGCAGTTATTTGACAAATCGTATGTACTCGCATGCTGATAATTATGTAGTACATTTCTGTTTCTATGAGATGACGGAAAAAATAGATGTTTGCAGCGTCTCCTGACGCATAGAACTGAATTTCCGCACCGTAACGTAGTTTCCTGAACGCAACTCAATTTTTGACTGTCTACAACTTTATTGTCCCCGCCACGGCAGACAACGACGAACAACGGTCTGACGTTACTATCTTTGAAATGGCGTCGATGCAGTTAAATACGATGTTATTTGTTGTTGTTTTGTTAGTTTAGGTCGCTTCGTGCTACAATTTTCTGGTCCATTGTGAATTTCTGGACCTGGCCTTTATATTTGGGCATTACAAAGTTGATAAGCAAAAATGTGGTGAAGCAAATTGTTAATAATTTACGTTGCATAATAAGGCCGCAGCTAACCCCGAGCTTGCGTAGGGATTACAACGGCTTTTCAATAGTTGGCCCAGCCGCAGCTACATTTTGGTGAGTTGCTATCGTGGAAAGAAAAATCCAAACGTCTTAACCAGCAACAACGTTTTCCTGGCTGAAATATACTAGCTGCATCAGATACATATAAGGGTTCATTCACGCTTCGTAGCTACTTTTGCTTAAGTTAACATCTTGGCAAATAATTTTCTTCTCTAACTACATCGCTTGCTAACGCGGCTAACGTTAGCGTTAGCCTACTTGCTGTATGTATAAGTGCGTTGATAAAGCTAGCAGCACAACATTCACTATGCATAGAGTGTTTACAAACGGAGCTAACGTTAGCGTTAACAGCTGTTGAGCAGAAGCGATCTTGAATTTTCGTCCGGGATGAGTCTGAGCTTATCTGCAAAGATTAGTATTTGACCAATATGCACCGATGCTCATTAATTCATGTACCACCGAAACAAAATGCTGATCATTCAAGTAAACGACTAAACTTATTCGTTATGACGGGAACAGGATTTATATGTTGCTCTAATCAGCTCTCTACTAGGGAGTGTGGGGTCATTATGGTGAGCTGCTAACAAGTTTTGTTTTTCTTTTTTTCCCTTTATTTTAACAGGTTTTCAAGTAAACCTCTGGACATGTGCATCAAGTAGAAGAATCAGAACGTGAAGTGACAGATTTCACCAGCCTTACCATTAACACATAAATAATAATTCCTTTTGTTGATTAATTAGTCTCTCCTCACTCGTTTCCATTAGATTTGAAAATATTTTGCATAAATATCTTGCACAAACACACTGAACATGGCATCAGTGCCCGTGTATTGTCTGTGTCGTCTGCCATATGATGTGACACGCTTCATGATAGAGTGTGACATTTGTCAAGACTGGTTTCATGGAAGGTAGGATGTTTTCCTGCTTTGACCCACTTTATTAGATTTATGATGTGGTTACATCTGTTGTCTTCACTGTAAAATTTCTGTGTAATGGAGCCATTCTTTGTTTTGATATAAGTATGCTTTTTGTGTAGCTGTGTTGGAGTAGAGGAAGACAAAGCGGCTGAGATTGACCTGTACCACTGCCCCAACTGTCAGGTCACTCATGGGCCTTCTGTTAGTAAGTTATCATTTCTTAAGTAAAACTCTCAGGGTTGGTGTTATTATTAGTTGACTTTTTCATAGAAATGTACAGGTTGAAAACTGTTTTCTCCATTTTCTTAGTGCGCAAACGCCGGGGAGGCAATAAGCAAGTAGATGGAGGTGCCACTGGAGGAAGAGACCCAAGTAAGCCTGTTAAGACAGGGAGCGCACAGTTTGTTAGGGAGCTACGGAGCCGAACCTTCCCGAAGTAAGTCTCACCTGCCATCCTGCTAAAACAAAAGTTTGAAGAAAATCATGGTTTGTAGTGTGTTTTTCACATTGTAAGAACTTAATGTACTATTGCTGTTATAATATCCTGGCAACTAATTTCTTAGTCAACTAAACAAAGAAAAAAATGTTGCACATAGTACTCCAAACACACAAGAAGAAGAAAAACACTTAAACCAATGTTAAATATGATATGAAAACGTTACTTCAAAACATGTTCACGTTTTATTAAAATGTAACAAAATAACATCCGAAAAACAAATAAACAGCGACTGAAAAGTGTGATAGACTGTGCCATGCATAATGAATTCCCTGGCCATCCAATAGATGTAATCTCTCCAGCGTGTTCCAGGTCTACTCCGGGGCCTCCTCTCGGTAGGACATGGCCGGCCAGAACACCTTACCCTAGAGAAGCTCGCCTTAACTGGCTCCTTTCAATGTGGAGGAGGAGCAGCTCTACTCTTAGCCCCTCCCAAATGAACTCCTCACCTTATCGCTGAGGAAAAGCCTTTTCACACCTATGAGAAAGCTCATTTTCGCAGCTTATTCTCACCTTTATATAACTAGAAATAATAGTGTTGACAAAAAAAATCAGGCAAAGATGAACAGTTTAATGACGATGCTCCATCGGGTGGCAGATGGCTGCATAACATTTAGGACACAACAATTTACCAGCATTTAAAATGTAAAACAATTAGATAGTAGGGCTGGGCCATATCATACTGTTCACGGTAATACCGGTATAATGTTGGGCAATAATAAAAAATGAAATATTGCAATAGAATATGGGTAAAACGCGCATGCGCAGTGCCTTTGTTTTCATACGCACATTGCGGAAAAAGCGTGCCGGCGACAGAGAATGAGAAGGGCGAAAGCGGATCGTTGAATGAAACGGACGAACCAGAACTGGTTTGTAAAAATGCTGCAACTTCAGTGGTGTGGAACTGGTTTGGCTTTCCCCCGTCAGATACACAACAAAGCACTATTTTTGGTAGCGCATGCTAGCAGGCCGTCGTTGTTACTGTGTTTTTTGGAAAATACGGCGCACTTAAAATCAATCCTTTGATTTTTCTGAAAATCGACAGTGCCCCTTATAATCCCGTGTGCCTTATGTATGAATCCTGGTTGTGTTTACTGACCTCGAAACGATTTTATGTGCACGGCGCTCGAAAATCTGTCAAATGTTTTAGTACGACTTTGCTAAGCTACAAACCTGCACCGCTTGATGGATTGTCGGTGCATTATGGCTATCTTAGGCAGGCGCCTCGCGGAGTGATACGTACTGTGCTTCAACATAATATTACCGTATTGTGTATAACCTCTTTTTAAGTTTTGTGGATGTTATACATGGTTATGCTGAGGATATGTCGGCCAGTTTCCACTGGAAATGCCTTTTGGTTAAACTGTCAGCAAGGAATTTGCACTGTTAAATTTTTATATAACTTTAATGCAGATAAAAAAACAGCTGCTTGTTTAAGTGAAAATACATTGATGGTTTTTTTTTTTTGCACTAATAAAGTTGTGGAGTTGTAAAGTATTTTGTCTTCTATCAATGATATCGTCAGTTATATCGTTATCGCAAATTTTCAAATGTATATTGTGATAAATATTTTTGGTCATATCGCCCTGCTCTATTAGATAGATTATAGTGACAGTTAGTTGTCTGGTTGACTAGTTGCTAACATCCCAAATACATTGCTATTAAAGTTGATTGCATTACATTCTACTAGTCTTTATCCAACACTGGTCTTGAAACCGGTTGGTGAACTAGCAACACCGACTACTGACTGAATAAATATTATAATTTCAGGAATTTAGTGGTTGCTGGTTTTTGCAAGGACTTTAGGTTGCCAGCCAGTCGCTAGTCCTCTGTATGTGTGTTAGTAAGGGAGACTGGTGTTATAGTTATTACTGCTTACTCCATGTGTCACTATTTTAGTTAGCATCCTGGGTTTTTGATCTTTAATGTAATAACACTGTAAATCACTCTGTCCTATTATTGTTTTTTTTTTTCTTGTGATCAGAGTGAAAACGTACTTTTTGTTTTTCTGTGACAGTGCGGATGAAATATTGCTAAAGCCTTCAGGGGCCCAACTTACAGTTGAGTTTCTGGAGGAGCATTCATTCAGTGTACCTGTCATGGTTCTGCGGCGGGATGGCCTGGGTATGACCCTACCTCCATCATCATTTGGCGTCAGTGATGTGGAGCACTACATTGGTAAAGTTACAGTTACAATTTAAATTATGGTTAGGTTGTGTTTTTGTAATCGGTAAATTCGTTTTTGTTTGCTTTGTTTTCTGAAACCTGTGCATTTTGTTAAATTCAGGTTCGGATAAACAGATTGATGTAATTGATGTTTCACGCCAGTGTGATCTGAAGATGCGTTTGGGCGACTTTGTTGAGTACTACAACAGCCCCAACAGAGATAGGGTCCTCAATGTCATCAGCCTGGAGTTCTCTGAGACCAGGTATGAAAAGACAGTCAGTCATTCTACTAAATATACGTTTAAGTAACACATTGTCGTTACTGGTGTGGAGTTTTGAAGACTAAATAAAAGTTTTGGATTTATCTTAGACTGTCAAACCTGGTGGAGACGCCTAAGATTGTGAGGAAACTTTCCTGGGTGGAAAACCTCTGGCCTGAAGAGTCTGTTTTCGAGCGTCCCAATGTGCAAAAGTACTGCCTAATGGGAGTGAAGGATAGCTACACAGACTTCCATATTGACTTTGGAGGCACCTCAGTATGGTACCATGTCCTCAGGGTAAGTGTTAATTGTTTCAAAGGTTTCTGTTCACATTCATTTTTTGTGTTTGTGTTTTAAACGAATAGTTTTGCATCTTTTTAAAGCTTCCCTTATTGTGCTTACTCAGGGTGAGAAAATCTTCTATTTAATTTCCCCCACCCCTGCCAACCTGGCACTTTTTGAGCGATGGAGTTCATCATCTAACCAGAATGAGATGTTCTTTGGGGACCAGGTTGACATGTGCTATAAGTGTTCTGTCAAACAGGGAAACACCTTGTTCATACCAACAGGTAAGCACTTGGGTAATTCTTTTTGTTAGAGCAGAGTTTTGTTTTGTCAGATATCTCAAACTAATTCCATTAACTCAGCTACAATATGAATATCAGGCATTTCATCTGGTTTCTACATGATGACAACACAAAAAAGCCGTAGAAAATAAGTAAAGTAGAAACTGTCTATGTTTCTGTGGCGGAGTCTTGTTTCTACCAAGTATATTGCAACAATTCAGCTTATAGTTCAATATCCAAACAGAGGTCGAACAGCTTTTAAAAGTTACCAGTGAAGAAGAAGATGATTGGTGTGCATTCTTTCTCTTTGATTTAGATTATGAAAGCAATAACATGCCACAAAATGTTTTGTGAGCAGTAAAGATTACAATGGTGTTTACAACACTGTTTTTGTGTATGCACCATAATGCCTAAGTTACATTTTTATATTTATACACAGTTGTGTAAAAGCCTTGTTTTAGAGAGACGAGCCAAAGCTGAGAGAAAATGATCTGCTTATAGTGTGGATTTTTATTTATTTATTTTTTAACCAGGGTGGATTCATGCTGTGCTCACTCCAGTGGACTGCCTGGCTTTTGGAGGAAACTTCTTGCATAGTCTCAACATTGACATGCAGTTGCGGTTAGTTTTTTGATAAACTTATGTATGTCAAGTATATTTAATTGAGCATAATTGTATTCCTTTTGACTGAAATGTTGAAATGTCAGTGTTTAGACATGGCGGACGAAGGAACTTGCACCCTTAATTGTTGTGGTTCCTCACTTCTTGTTCCTCAAGCCTGAAGTTCTGTATTTGGTTAAAATTACTATACTTGTGGGTTGTTGTTGTTGTTTTTTCTTGTCTGCAGAGATATTTTAACCTGGTGGCAATAAATAACTTTTTGTGATGTGGTATTGTTTAGGGCATATGAAATAGAGAAGAGACTAAGCACAGCGGACTTGTTCAAATTTCCCAACTTTGAGACTGTGTGCTGGTATGTAGGAAAGCACCTTCTCGATACTTTCAGAGGTAAGGGCTTTGGCTTTTATTATGTTTTTATTTGAACTACTTGGCTGGTCTGTGTTTGCTGTTAATAATTGTTGTATTGCTAACTTTGTGGTGTTTGGTCTGACAGGTTTGAGAGAAAATCGCAGGCATCCTGCCACTTACCTGGTTCATGGGGCGAAGGCCCTAAACAATGCCTTCCGCAGCTGGACCCGCAAAGAGGTAAAACCTTAAACATTTGCAATGTTATGTCCCATTTTAGTCCAGTTTTACTGATTCTCTTATTGCTTGGTTTATTTCCCTTCTAAAGTTGACTTTGAAATATGGGAAGTTTTTTTTTTTTTTTAATTATTATTGTTTTGGCCCAGAGAATGCTACTGATTGGAGCAGAAATACAGCTCTACAATTGTTTTAATACATTAACTTTAATGCAGTAAAATCTATAGTGTCATAAATGATTACATGAAAGTTACTGCATGGTATTTTTCTTGTTTAGAAGCAAAACATTAAATTGCAGCAATGCTGTTAAGAAAACTGCTAATTTGGGATGTGTTTTTATTTGCTCCCTAGCAAAGAGTTAACTCATTCACTGCCATTGACGTCTATAGACGTCAATGGCAGTGAATGAGCAGTGGGGAGTTACCTGATTTGAAAATGGCTGGCAGTGAATGAGTTAAATGAGAAAATCAGTTCCACTTTCATGTCTGTCTCTGTCAGATGGCCGTAAACTGCTTATACCTCTGAAGCTTGTTTGTTTAATCAGTGTAGAAATGACGTCCTGTGGCTTCGCCACGGTGTTATGTCTGTTATGTCTTGGTTCTGAGCACTTGCCAGACAACCAGCAGAGACTCCAGGAAGTTACCGATCACTGACAGAAAATACTGCTGCATGACCAAAGTCATTACACTAATCTTACCCCTCGGCAGCCATCATGGCATTGCCCTCAGGCTCTGAGCCTGTAACTTTTCCTTGTAACATCATTTTTGTAACTGTAGAGTCTGATGTAGTGACATTTCTACAGTAAAGTGATATATAGCCATTTCCCCATTGTGACAGTTTGTAATGTGTGAAATAATGATAAGAATAATAATCATAGTAACATAAAAAGAGCATAGTATCACTTGTAGCTTTGGAAAATGTTGTAAGGAGATGATTGATGATTATCTCCTACACTCAGGCTTTAGCAGATCATGAAGTGGAGATTCCAGAAACCATCAATACTCAGGCGCTGGTGAAGGACCTGGCCAAGGAGATTCGTCTGGTAGAGGTAAATGAAATCACTGAAAGCTTGTTTTAATTCTACAAATGTTAATGTTTATATGTTTTTCTTACTCTTTCTGTGTTTTAATGATTTTAAAAAATAATCTGTTTTTCAGGATATCTTTCAGCAAAACATTGGCCGCACTGGTCCTCAGTTTCCTGGTTCGCCACTCTCCAAAGCTCCCCTCACCACCTCTCAGAATTCAGGACGGCCCCCTGGAAAAAAGAAAGGGCCCAAGCCCAAGGAGATGACAGGGGGTGTTGGGCCCCCAGGAACCAAAAAGAAGAGTCAAAAGGGACTACTTAAAGCAGAAGCAGGAGAACTCGATCTGATTGAGATCCACACCAAACATACACTCAAGAAATTTCAACCTGGAAAGTCGAAACACAAGAACAAGGTATGATGTTTGCAGATGTTTGTGATGATAATGGGAATGCTTATCCAGCATTTTCAGTGAACAAGTTTCATTTTCATATATCCTTATAGTGATGATCTCTCTTTGCAGTTGGAGTTACCATTAGAGGAGTTTGAAGGGAAGATAAATAAAAGCAAGCTCAAACTTGTGTTGACCAATGGAAAAATTCAAAGGTAAGCTTTACAGCCATTTCAAGGGTTCCTGTTGGTTCTGTGATCTTACTACAGGTCGATGTGTTTACCTGCTGTTTTTTCTGGCTTCAGTAAGAAGGATGGCAGCAGTAATGGTGCAGGAAGTGCTGGAAACTACAAACATCTTGCGACGGAGGGATCCAGTCTGTCCGACTTGGAGTCTGAGGATGAGTTGCAGATTGATGAGACCCCACCTCCACGACGGAAGACAGCTGGACTGAGTAAGAAGAAGAAGCTGAGTGGTAAGTGTATTATGCATTCTTGAACGAAATATATACATGTGTTTAATCTGTTCATTCATTTATTCATCTATTGCAATTAAAATTTATCATACTTAAGTAAAGCTGTTTGAATGTTGGGACTAATAACAAAATGTGGTTTCTAATATAATTCAGTAGTAGTTTCAAAGCTGTAATTTAATAGTGTTAAAATGTACCTTCAGGTCTTCCTAGAAAGCTGCCCAGAGCCAAACCCTGCTCTGACCCTAATCGCATCAGAGAGCCCGGAGAAGTTGACTTTGACATTGAGGTGAGATTATTATTGAAACGGCCATCCTTTCAGGTCTTTGAGTTCCAATTCAAATGTGTTCTTTACTTAAAACAGTCAGAAAAGGTCAGTCCCAAAGATTTAAAGAAACTATTCACTACACTATAATTAATGTTTCATAAATCATAAATCGCTTATATTGATTTTGTTATCCCCTGCTGAGCAAACAAAAGCTTTATTTCATAAGACAAGCCATGGAGTGTTGACAAGAACTTGATGTTCAGTTTTTAAACAATTGATGTGGCTTCAGGAGGACTACACCACTGATGAAGAGGCACTGGCTGCTCATGGAGTGAAGGGTGGTGCAGGGGGCATTCTGGACTTACTGAAGGCTAGCAAGCAAGTGGCAGGCTTGGACTCTACAGCAATCGGGTAAGATTGCCTGGATCATCTGTGTGTTGGTACTTATAAATAATCATAATAAAATGGTACTGTGTGAAGCTGTGCAGCTGAAACACCCAGAAAACTTTGTATACCTTTGTCAAGAGTGGAGGCGGGTGAAAATGACTCATATTGTTGATGAAGTAATCTTGAAAACCTTTGTTTTACAAATTTGCAATGGGTTTGGGGTCCCACTTTGTGTAAGAGTTTTATATTGCGAGGTGATTAGTGATGGGCTGTGTACTTTTCTCAGTGAGGAAGCCCCAGCCTCTCCCAGCACTCGTGATGCCATTCAAGGGATGCTCTCCATGGCCAACCCCCCTTCGTCATCCTCCTCCTCATCCTCTTCATCTCCTTTGTCTATATCTGGAGGCCTGACGGAAGGATTAGGGGTCGTCAAGGAAAAGGGCGGCAAGGCTGTATGGGTGACAGGAGGGGTCAAAAAGACAGCAAATTCTGAGAAGAAACCTGTCATTCAGCGACCTGGAAAACGTCCAATTAAACGGCCAGCCCGTCACCTTAGTGACGAGGAAAGTCCAGATGAACAGGAGACCCTGGGAACTTGTTTTAAAGATTCAGACTATGGTGAGCAGTACAACTTTGATTAATTTTCCTGATCAAGCCAAAATTTAATTATGATAATTTTTTAAAATTATTTATTTTTTTTAAGTTTACCCATCCTTGGAATCTGATGAGGAGGATCACACCAACAAGACTAAGATGAAGCGGAAGAAAAACTGGGATGACACACCATGGAGTCCAAAAGGTAAACATGGCAGAAGGATCGATCAAATTTCTTTTTAGCTTTCTGATGTTTAGTCACTCAATAACTTCTTTTCATATACAGCCAGGGTGATGCCCACCCTTCCCAAACAGGATCGTCCAGCCAGGGAGGGAGCAAGAGTTGCCTCTGTAGAAACTGGCCTTGCTGCAGCTGCTGCCAAGCTGGCACAACAAGTGAGTGGGGGGGAACTAATAAAAAAAATCTTGTCTTCTAATATTCCTTGGAAAAGATGAAAAACTTTGTTGTTTGTGCAACAGGAGCAGCAAAAGCCTGCTAAAAGGAAGTACACGAAAAAGCAGCGTCCCCCTGCTCCTGTCATCACTCCACCTCCTGTTCAGACCGAGCCAGCCCCACCCTCTCCAACACCTGCCCCAGAGTCTGCAGCAGACGTCAGCCCAGACAGAAGAGTGGATTATTACTCTGCTAGTCTGTTGGACCATGAATATACAGCAGGACCAGGACCTTTTGGCTCAGGAGGACCTAGAGGCAGTGGAGCCATGGCTCCGGGTGTATTTCTTACATCAAGAAGACCTTCCCTGTCTCCACAAAATAGCAGCTCTCACTCCGGTGCATCCCCTGCAGGTTTATCCAGTCAGGGCACAACAGGAGTTGGTCAAGGTGAGCATAAACTTGAGTAAACTTTAGTTTTGACAGCATAATTTCATATTTTATAAAGTTTATTTGTTTTTAATGTTTCCCTTATACCTTGATTTAGGGAAACGTCCAAAGAAAGGACTTGCGACTGCAAAACAGAGACTTGGAAAAATCCTGAAAATTCACCGCAATGGCAAACTTCTCTTGTGAGAGGTGTTGGAAATGTGGCTGAAGACTTGAAGAATGAGAATGAAGAAAAGACCTGAAGTAGGTCTGAAGGAAAAAGAGACAGTAATCTATATTTTTTATTCCAGATAAATTTGTTTACTGTTTTTACTCGTTGCCGAACCTCACAAAAAAAATTCTTGCCCTACACCAGTTACTCTGCCCAGTTCTGCTCACCCTCATCTGCATAAAGGTATTTTCAGAAGCACATGTGTGGCTTTAAGTGAATCACTGTAATATGCTGGACAAGCACTTAACGTGGTAATTAACTGTTAATTACCACCTATTTGACGTCACATTTGAATTTCAGAATGTCAGGTGGATATTGATTTAACGTGGTAATTGACAAAGGCAAATGGTTTCTTTTGTTTAGGCCATTTTAGAGGTTGTATTTATGTTTGTACTATCCATCATAAGTTTTTTTTCTTTTTTTTAAAGGGAAAGAAAACAGTTAATGTGATATTTGTATAGGCCCCTTTCCCATGCAGAAGATCCATTGGTGCAAATACTGACAGAGTTGTAGTATTATTTTTGTTTAGTTTCCTTTTTACCTAATTTTTATTACAATAGAGGTTGTACAAAACTCAAGTGTGTGCATATAATATGCGACATGTATTAATTCTTTTTGAGAAATTTGCCCCTGATGTTTGTATAGAAAATAGATCTCCATATATTGTAGCTCTACCTATGACAGCTGACGTGCTAGACTAATGCCAGGACTTACCACCATTATTCTATTTATTCTTTTCATATTTATTTAACAGGGCAGAACTTTTGCCATCTCTTATCCTGTTTTAATGTTGTATGTTTTTACAACCTCATCTTCTGGTCCCCACGTCAAGTATTTTCAACCACTTTATGCTTGTACAAAAACTGTAGCCATTGCTTTGTTGTCACTGTAAATACTTGTAATATTTGTAATTAATATAGCTGCTTAAATGCAGAACAATTTTAGACTTAAAAACAAACAAACAAACAAAAAAAGGTTCCTGCATGTTGCCGTAAATTGCGCCCCGGATGTTAGCAGGACTCTTGGGTCAGAAATAGAAATGTGTTTTTGTATCACAGAATGTACTAGTCCTAAAGTGTTGGCAGAGATGTAGATTTAACTTTGTGAAGGTGAAGGACATGAGTTGATATGTAAATATATGTTGTAATTTAAATTCTTTTATAGTTCAAAAACTTTCAGATCTTTCGTAACATGACTTGTACATTATACATTGCTGTATTTGGGAAATATCTGAAATAGTTCTTTTTTATATTTGTATGCAGTAACTCTCATGCTAAGTCCATGTTGTCTTGTTAGTGTTATTGGAAGCGTGCTGGAAAATGCCCTTGTTAAATTTCATCCATTTAGTTTTATATTATTGTTGATTTTCACTCTTGTGTTGGTGTGAACTGTGCATTTTAAACATGATGTGTTTTAAATACGACCTGGAAATGATAAAATATACCTTGGGCAAAATTTCTTTTTTTCTTTGAGTTTATTTGATGATTGCTGAGTCACCAAAAGCACTACCGGTGGGTCTTCTGATTTCTCATGTCTGCTGGAGAACCAAGGTGTCAGTGCATTCATGAAGGTGTCATTTAGGAACGTTTTTGAATACACAAACAAGGAATGTTGTGTTGTATTAAAAACATCTACACTTAATGATTTTTCCCCAATAAAAGTACAGTTTCATTAATTGTAGAGATTAGCAACCTACTTGGGTATTTTTAATAAAGGGTGTAAACATATTTTCTCATGGTTTTTTTGATCTATGAATTACTGTACTATTATTATTTTAACATCTTAACATCCCACAGTTTAATTTTAGGGTTGAATACATTTGTCAATACAATGTCCAGTCTTTTTTCCACAAATGTCAGTAAGTTTGAATGCACTTTGATATTAAACTATATTTTTCAGAAAGCCTGGAGACTTTTGCTGTGTGCTTTCGTTTGCACATTTAATTTAAAAAGTCGAGACTGGAAATGCCATTTACTTCCAATCTGAAATGCCTTAGCACTTGTTTTTGTTTTGTGTGGTTTTTTTAATAGCAATTACAAGGGAGTGCCCTGTGTAAACGCAACAGCAGGTATTCTCGCGAGAACTAAACTGCCATACCACTCGTTAGTGCAAGATGGAGAAGCAAATGTAACACGCATTCGAGGTAGGCAGAAAGACTTATTCTAAAGTGTTGACACAGGGTTTAGCAAAGCGGTGATGGACGTCTATCGTCCGTAAATTGCTGATTGCTTCTCGTCACGGGATCCGAGCCACCAAAATAGTGTATTTTTAATGGTAATGTATGCGTCTTTTGCAGTGTAAACCGCCATTTTTAATTTAGCCGTGATCCCATGGATAGAGCATTGTGCGGACTAGGAGCCCTAACGGCTAGCCGATTAGCTCGCGCGAAACCCTCTAACACAGAAGCCGCACACTTAACACGCAGAGTCATGTTCACTGTGTGTGGGTATTTGCACCTCTGTGCAAGTAATTCAAAGCCAGTTTTCTCCCTCTGTTGCGGCTTGTTCTCTTGGCGGGAATGAAGACAACTTGAGTCAAAGTGTGTGTTGCAGATTGACTTTTCGTGATGTGCTAACGTTAGCCGTCAAAGCTGAATTAAAGCCGAAGTAGCAAATGTTAGCCAAAAGTGCTAGTAAACCTAGCTAACATCAGATGACTAGCTGTTAACTTTGTCTACGTTAGCGCCACTAGTGACTGATCTTTAACTGCGTAGCAAGCTACTTAAACAACACTTAGAAACAATGGGATAGGAGCTGAATGAACACGCTTTCAACTTGGAGCTAACTCAGTTAACTTGGGAGTAATAATAGCCTTTACTTCACTTTGTGTTTCGGATGATGACTTCAACATTCCATAATGTCAGCAGCTATAAATGCTGCAGGTTGGTTTTAGATTAAATGTGCGTTCATCGGTAGAATCAGCATGATTTCGTCAAAGAAAATATTGCACTCGGCTACATTTGCAAATTTTATTTATCCTTTATTTATAAATGTGATGCCGGTGAGTCTCACTGTCTCATTTACATATACAAGTCTTGAGATCAAGCGGTGAAACCACTTGGTGAAAACATACCGAGCTGCTGAAATGTGAATATTTGTTACCTGTCAGATTCCCTTCACCATCTCATCATACTCTTAATCGCTGTTAATTGTGATGGTATGACAAAGAAGTAGACCACTTCTCCGTCATTGGCTTAAATCTCCCCTGAGTGCCTCATGGATTTTTGTATTCTTTATTATTGAATCAAACTATTGCCGGGATAATTCATTAATGCCAGGCCTCAGCTCGCTCATTAAAGGTGATCAGCTTATTAAAGTATAAAACAGTTTGAAAGTGGAGATGTGACAAGTTTTTCTGCAAATATTTTAATGTACTTTAAAATCTGGGTAATTAGGGTAATTCTGTTCAGTGATATGGAGGTTGTGATATTAAAGTACCATATGATTTAATGAGAGAGATTGCCGAAATGGAAATTGTTTTATGTGGAGTACTACTCTCTCTCATGGATTTTTCATAAATAAAGTTCTGTTTGGTTGGCATAAATAAGGCATGCACATCAACAGCAAGTCTGTGCTGAACAGTGTAGTTTAATGGCAGACAAATAAGTTGAACTTGAGAAAATTTTTAACAGTAAGGATCTGTTGATTGTTGTCCATGTTTACAGAAAAAATAACTCCCATAGCAGTTATGCACACTGTCCAATTAGTAACAAGATATCAAAGAATTCAGTTTGTTTAAAAATAATGACTTAAGGAAGATACAGATAAGTTAGAAATGTCATTCACATGTGCAAAACCACATACATCCTGAAACCTGTGTCTAAAAGGAAACTGTTAAGGCCCCAAAGTTAGAAAACTGGAGGTACAGTGAAACAGAAATAAGTGTTTAACTATATTTAATTTTACAAAGTAGAAAATCTTTCAGTTTTAATGAAATTCTTCCTGAAACACTGACATGACGGACGTTTGGAGAAATAGAGATGGTGTTTCAAGTGTCCAAGCAGTTCCATTTTCTTTTCTTCATTCAAAACTAATTTCATTGTTTGTCATATGTTTTCAGATTGTGTAAAGAAACAGCGTAGTAAATCAAGGATGAGAAAGGTGGAACCACTGAACCAGATCAGATTCTGGTGAGTACTGCCTCCCCCCCTTTCTTTTTTTCTGCTTTGACTGAACTGAGCTGGTAATGCACACTATACATGAAGAATATACCTGCAGGGATAAATTGATGTAACAACTTAATATCTGTATCAGTCGATTTTCACATCGCCTATTGGCAAATAAGATGGTATTCAGAGATGGCAGTGGTTGATGTTTATCTGTTGTGTTAGAGGAGATTTCCACGGGCTAAATGCTTTGGTAGTTTGAAGGGCTGAACGACATAAAAACAGTTCAGTATTTTTTAAAAAATAATGATTTCTTTGTCTTCATATGGCACAAAAAGCACTAAATATCAAAAACAAAACACCCCCTATAGCCATTGGCAGAGTTTTGGCACATTCTAGTTTGCAATAAGAAGAAGAGGAGCAAGGTATTTCTGACAGTAAACACTTTGGTGTATTTGAAATATTTTTCCGCGACTCAAACTAGCAGAAGTTATTGAAATTCCTAAATAAGAAAATGTGACCTTCTTTTCTGGTTCCATGTGGTTATATCTGTCTAACCAGAGGGTCTTGGTGAGATTTACTGTGATTTCTATTTTTCAGCCATTGTTCAGCTCTGAACAACTGGGCTCAGTGACAGTGTTTGTGCTGCTCATCATACCCAAATATTAATTTAGGGAAAAACCATAACCTCTCACAGGGTGTGTGGAGCTTTTGGAAACTTTTTGGTTTTATGTCCGTGCTGTAATCAATATTGGCAGACATCCATATTTATAATTTAAAAAAAACCCTGTAAATACTATTTTAAATAATCACCAATATACAACCAATGTCAGTAAAATATCCACTGATATTGCAATAAAAGATTTGGCA